TTCTGGGGAAAATCTGGCTCCCCAAAGAGGGGACAGCAGCCACAGCCCCACAGGTTTCTGCTGGACATTGTTGCATCCAGCTGAACGTTTGGGAAAGAGGCAAAGAGGCAGATGCTCTTCCTTGCCCAAAGTCCTTCATGGCTAAAGCAACCAGGAAAGTAAGCACATGGAAATGCAAGGAATGGGGGGACAGGAAGGGGCACAAGGGGCCCTGCTTCCCTCCTCATGCTCTGAACATGCTCGTGTTCTAACACAGCAGCACAAGTCCCCCTGTCCCAGAGGAGCATCCCCCCTGCTCTGGGAATGTGCACCCCTGAGCAGCCCCATGGACAAAGCTAACAGCTTTGAGCCAACCCTCATTAATGCCAGCTCCAGAATTAAGGAGCTGGCTGCAGCACCCACTCAGCTTCTAAGCAGTCAGGTGAGGCTGGGAGGGAGGCAACAGGAGCCAGTTACTTTTAAGATCACTGGTGAGCAATCAAGCAGGAAAGTGGCCTGAGGTGTCACACCAGCGACCTGGGGCTGGAAATCTTTAAAACCTCATTTTACATTTTAATCTTCTCCTTTTCATCTGCACCAAAACAACCATGGCTGTCAGGGGGTGAGAGGATGAGCACAGGGATCATTTATTGGGGAATGTCACCTTCTGCTGCCAGTGACCTGGGAGGGCAGCACCTTTCCCAGAGACCTTCTCCTGCAGGATTAATAGGAGTGCCCAGAGCAAAGCCCAGCCTTACTCACAGAGCACTGAGACCACATGTCCTCGCTGCCAGCAGCAGGGATGCCTTGGTCATGGCTCTGAGGGAGCCCAAAGGAAGACCCTTCAGGATGTTGCCTCACTGTGCTGCTCACAGAGCCTCCCAGAAGCCAGTTTTGGGGGAAATCCAGCCTTTTAGGAAAGCAGAAGAGCTACTGACCAGAGAAGGGTTTGCAGCCACAGGGCCCATAGGTTTAGCTCATCCCTTCCCGATGGCATCCAGTGCCCTTGCAAGGGGGCAAACCAGGAAGAGTTACTGGTGTGTCTGTATTAGAAATAGAAGAAGATGCTAAACCAGCAGCTGTGGTGCAACTGCAACTTCCAAGGCCCTGAAGAACCACGGATCTCAGTGAAGCTGGGATGGGTTAAATCCTGCCTGACCTGCTGCCCCAGGTGAGCACCAGGGAGAGTCAGTGATGCTCCCGGTGAGATCCGGGGGAGGAGGGAGCTCTCCTAGCCTGACCCCACCGAGTTCAGCCCCAGCCCCGCACAGAGCAGCTCCCCAGGCAGCGCCATGGGAGAGCATCCCTCAGCCAGAGGGATTCCCAGCCCGGGGCATCGCCATTCCTGCCGCACCCCGTCCCCTTCTCGCACAGCTCAGCGCCGGCAGGACCATGTCCCCGCTTCACCCCTGACCCTCCTCACTCTGCTTTAAGCCCTGTGTCGTGTCACCCTCCCACGCAGGGCCATCCCCGGCGCCTCCCCGAGGGTCAGAGGCCGTGAGCCGGCCGGGATGTCCGCGCCCGGGATGCTCCGTGCCCGGGATGCTCCGCAGGGGAGCCCCGTGACGCGGGCGCGGCTCAGCGGGATTAGCGCTTGGGCAGACGGACGTGACTGCGAGGCAGTCGCCTGGTGCTAATTAAAGAAGGGATATATTTAGGCACCCGGTTATCCCCTGCATTTCACTTATTTTTAGCTCCCAGTCTGCCAGGCTGGGGTGGCACATGGGGAAGGGCACGGATGCCAGGCAGGATGGATCCAGCAGGGAGGTCACAGCCGCATGTCCTGGCCAGCACTCAGCCCCTGGGGGGAAGAAATCTCTGCCCAAACTGGCTGCAAAGGAAGAGAAAGATTTGGTTTTTTCCCCAGAAAGGCAGGAAAATGGATTTCGAGGAGCAATAGGAGCATCCCCGCTCAGTCCTTGCCCCAGATCCATCCAGCCTTTGCCACCACCCACACCCCCACATCCAGGAGCTGGAAATGGCCCTTTTTGGAATCACCCAGCAAAAAGCATGGCTGTGCCCAGGGCAGAGGCAGCTCCCTCATTCCCAGAGACCCATCCATCTGCAGTGGCACTGGCCTGGCAGCAATGCCTCTGGTTCCCATCCATACCTTCTTTCTCTCCAGTCCTGCCCCTCAGCACAGCTGGAGTGTGTCCTTGGCACATGGCTGAGCACCCCATCCGCACGGGCCATCAGCAGGTGTGGAGCTTCCTTGGGCCTTAAGTACCCTGAAAAGAGCAGAGAAACAGCAGGAAGGACAGTGCTCAGCACCCCTCCATCCCTCCCGGGCCAGGACAGCCCTTAGTCCCATTTATTTCCCCCTTTGCTTCATCCCCACAAGCTCTCTGGGGTTTTATATTTGGGGGTTTGGGGTTTTTTCCCCCTTTCCAGAGTGAAATATTTATCAGGTCTCTGCTACCCTCCCACCCCCCACCCACCACACCCCCTGGCTGCCCTGCTTCCCTCATGGAGAGGAGGGTGGGGTGTGGGAGAAAATCAAAATAATGGGATAATAAATGATCCAGGGAGTTGAAACCCAGCCGAAAGTCAGGCTGCTCTGGCTGGCCTGGGAGGAGGCTTCCCAGCAGGGAAGGTTTGGTTTGAGGGTATTTTTGGAGCTGGACAGCATCCAGGGGTGGGTGGCCAAATTTCTTCTTAGGTGACCCATCAGATAAAGCCTCTCCCAAAACAATCAGGCTGGGAAGTTTGGACCATTTGTTTGAACTCAACAAATGTGAGATGGAAAAAACCCCCCACCCCAATTTCTTTACTTATTTAAATCCTTTGACTCCAGGAGCACCCTCCAGTCTGTGGAGAGTGGCCAGGGCTGTGTGAGGCTGTGAGCTCCCATCACCTGGGCTGCAGCTCGCCCTGAGTCCCTGCTGCCCATCAGAATTAGGCAGCCCTTTTGAGCAGGTTTACGATAATCATCAAATAACTCGTTCATTGACAGCGTGTCAGGCTGAGAAGACTGACTGAGCCCTCGTTTGCTGATTGCTAATTAGCTTAACATTCCTAATCCCTCATTAGTGACTATGAAGTAAGCTCTGAAATATGAGGTCAGCCCTAATCAGCGTTTAAAATATAAAGCCCACTGGCACATGAGGAGGCTGGAGAGGGGGTGGCCGCAGGCCAGCCCTGGGTGCCGCCGTGGTCACAGGGAATGAGGCTGCACAGAGCACAGGAAGAGCACAGGAAGAGTTAAACCCTGTGGAGCCACAGGCACCTGCACATCCCCCCAGAGCCCAGCCCCTGCACTCAGTGCCCTGGATCCACACGGGAACAGGCAGCAACGTGGGGTGCAACACTTGAGGGACCCCAGGTTCCTCTCGAGTCCCCAGTGCACCCAGCAGCAATTCCAGCTGTAGCTTCCATTCTGGGCAGACTGTCTATAAAATCACAGAATATTCTGAGCTGGAGAGGATCCACAAGGACCATGAGTCCCATTGTTAAGTGAATGGCCCACACAGGGATCAAACCCATCAGCTCCATGCTCTGACCAACAGTGTACCTGGGCAGGATGCTCTGGCTTTCTCCCCAGTTCCCACCTTCAAGATTCCAGGTGCATTGCAGGCAGCCAGGCTGCTGGTGGTGGGGCTTTCCCCAGAGACTCACCCCCACCCTCTGATCCTGGGGGAAGGAGTGAAATCTCAGCACTGGCAAGCAAGCACCAAAGTGTGCTGGGCTGCCACTTCCATGCCATCATTTGGGAGGAAAAAATGGCCCTTCGTTGTTGTGGCTTAATCCTCTGGAAGAATAAACTGTTGTGGGCTGAGAATTACTTATTCCTTGCTGGGGAAGCCTCTACAGGAGGGCTGCGGACATTAAAATAACCCTAATTAAACTCCAGCTAGCGAGCCTTGAAAAAGGAGAAAAATATCTCTAAAATAACCCTAATTAAATTCCAGCTAGTGACCCTTAAAAAAGGAGAAAAATATCTCTGTTTCCATGAAAATGTCATTTGAAAAGCCCTTGCACCACAGCTGTGCTGGTGCAGGGCGATGCCCCCAGCTCAGGCCGTGCTGCCGGAGATGATGCTCTGGGTTTGGGCTGTGGGGCAGCGCCAGCCCCTGCTCCACGCCCGGAGCAGGGAGCAGGGAGCCTTTGCCATGACGGACAGGGCGTCATTCCTGGGGGACACCGCTGTCCCCCGGCCCGCTCCCGTCCCCGGGGCCGCGCTCGGGCGGGAGCATGGCCCTGTCCTGGGCGCGCAGCGAGCGGCAGAGGCACCGCAAATCCCCTGCGGACAGAGCCGAGCTGCGCCCCCGATCCCTGCTCCGCAGCTTCTCCGGAGCACGGAGACACGGGATATTTTGAGCATCCTTGGCAGCAGCGAATGAGGATTAGTCCAATCCCACCAGACGTGAACGTCTCCCCAGCTCTATTTCCAAGGACAGGAATAGCCTTTGAAGGCTTTTCCATGTGGAGGGCACACACCTGCAAATGTTAAAAGCAAAGATATTTTTCTGGAAAGGTTTTGGGTGGTGCAGCATCAAGGCTGCCTAAATGAGTGGGTGAAAAAGGGGCCGTGCAGCACCTGCTGGCTCCTGCCCCACGGCTAATCCAAGCCCACGCCAAGCCCCTGCCCTTTGGATTTTATTGTGCACCTAATTCCTGAACCCATCAGACACAGTGTGCAGTTGTGGCCAGTCACATCCTCATCCTGCTCAGCCAAGTTTCACATCTGACAGGTTTTTACCCCTTTTACCCCTTACATGCTTTTACCATCAGGACCCTGCATTAACAGTGACACAAAACACTATCAACTTACAGACTCGGTGGAGGATGGTAAATTCTGGGCTTCAGTTTCAGAGTGGAAAGCTTTGGCTTAGCCACACACCTGGCCTGTGGAGCAGAAAATCCCAAACAGCCTGGCAGAGTTACTCCTGTACCCAGACACTCCACAGGCCATTTTCTGCCCCATCAAGCAGCTGGTTGAGCAGGCAGGTTGGGAGCACAGCCACCCCCAGCGCTACGAGAAACTGAGGGGAGACCAACCAAGAGACAAACACGAGTTTGGATTTATGTAAAAAAAAAAAAAAATTATTTATTTTGGAGGAGGATTTGAACATCGACATGCAGGTACAACATGAATAAAAATTATTGCACCGCTATTATGTGGCAATTGTTCAAGTTTCTAAAAACACAGAAATTCCACACTTTCTCTTATCTAGCTAAGTGCTGAGTGACACGGCTTGGCAGAGCCCAGCGCAGGAGGTGCTCTCACAGCCACCTGGATATGGTAATCGAACACAACGTAAACACACACTTCTGTCAAATCTTCTACTAGAAGTACAGAATTATCCTTCACATCCAGTAAGAGAAAACCAGAGAAAGACTTTATCCTCCCCTCTTCGGAAGAAAAACAAAACAAAACAAAAAAATACTCCAAATCACACCTTAATGCAAGTGTGGCAAACAAACCCACAGGTCACTCCTACCCTTCCCCCACAAGCGCTCTTTAGTACAGCAGCAGCCAAAGGCCTCCAACATTCAGACCCAGGAGTGGCCAGTACAACGCTAAAGTCTAATATTTACAATAAATATCATCCATTTCTCTTAGTTTGCAACAGTAAGAGACAAAGGGGAAAATAACACTGAGGCACGGGGCAGGGATGCAGCAGCTGGATGCAGGAGCAGAGAGGAGCTGCAGAGGCTGAACCAGCTGAGTGCTGCCATCCCAACACGGTGAGAAGCAGGAGACACATCCAAGCTGACAGAAGGGAAGAGGGAAACAAAGCAGGAAAGCAGCATATCTGGATGGTGACATGCACGGCTCATTCAGCAAACACACACCTCACGCTCGTGACCCACCCTGGGCCTGCCTGACTCGGGATTACCCACGGAGACCAAGGGCTGTGCGGGCTGGGGCCGCCCGGGCACCGCGGGTCCGAGGCGGCACTGGGACACACTCATGCCCCTCAGACACAGCCCTTCCAGCTTCCCCTTCCTTCCCAACACATTTTGTAAGATTTTTTTTGAGAAGGTATTTAAGGAATTTATAGCAGAGCAAGGAATAAGTCTTGGTGTATCTACCTGGCTTATTATCAAAATTTAATAAAGTCTTTTTGCCCAAACCTTTTGCTAAAGTGCGCCACGTAAATTTGACAGCAGGTAGAGCAGGGATGATGGGGCACCTGGCACACTGAGGGAAACTGCAGGACTGACCAAGAGCAGGGGATACAGGGCTTCACTAGAATGCTTTCCTGGCAATGCTGTTTGGCTTTGGCTTCCAAAACCCAGGGATTTTTAATTGCACTGACCACTCTCTGTGCCATAGCTACAAAAGAGGCAACGAAACACATACCTCACCTTTTCTTTGGCCAACACAGGCAAAAGCAGCAAAAGCTGTGACATAGCAATGGTTTTCACTCCTCCTTTTATGCCTAGGAAAGGATAATTCTGCACTTCAGCATGGGAAGCAGTGGCTGCAAAGGCAGGGAGTCAGCAGCTTAGAGCTGGTACCGTCCCAGGGTCCCACCCGCGCCCGTGGGGGATGAACCAGGTTACCCAGCCTGGCTCACACCCCGTGCTCTCCTCCTACGAGCAGTGCTCGGTCTTCTCCTCTGGTTTTTTAAACGCAGAAGGAAAAGGGGGACCTGCCACCCAGGGAACAGCCAGGTCAGACCACGTCCTCACACAACTCCTTAATTTACACAGACACTTCCATCTCGCCAAGGTCAGGTGCTCTCAGGAGAGCAGCTTGTCAAGGAGGCTTGTCTTTGTAATTACCACAGACTCAGGATGCCAAATCCACTTTTCACTATTCCTGTCCATGCCATAATATCCTGCACTGTTTCTCAACAGTTTTTTAACAGATCAACCCATTAGGGAGAAAACCAGCCAGGCAAGTACCAGATCCTGCCAAGTCTGTTCCTTACTTGCTACTGCTCTAAATCAGCACTGAATGATGCTTACCACCAAGAGCACTTGGAGAGGCTGGAGACACCCAGGACCCTGACAAGGCTGTGGAAATACTGTGGTTTGTAATTGCAAACCAAGTGTACACGAGCAGCCTATGAATTCCAGGGAAAAGAGCAGAGAGGCAGCACAGCAGGCTCTGCTCTCAATACCACCACAACCAGGTCTGTTAAGGTGTTACCTGGGAGCACTGAGGCTTTGGTTAGTGTAGTAGCAACACCATACATGTTCACACTGACACACGGAGTAAACACTCATTTAAACATGTTAAAAAAAAAAAGCTCAAACCAAACCAAAACTTGGTCCAGAAATGAAATCCAAGCAGCCAAAATCAAGTATATAATCGGGAGAATCAACTGCTACACAGAAAGAAACAGGGTGAGATTCCAGAGATTTTTTTCGAGTTGTGGGTTGTACCGAAATCAGATTGAAAGAGATGGAGAAAATATATTCCTATGTAATAAACATATTTGCATTCAGGGGAAGCGAATCAAAACTTCAAGTTCAGAGAAAGCCAAGACAGTGAAGGAAGCAGCAGTGTAAGGAAATCAGACCAACAGAGATGGGTTTTAGCCTGGAATACTGTTGCACAGTCATTCTGCTTCTAACAGAGTAAGCCAGTGAGCAGGGAACTATCCCTCACGGGTGATCCGCAGGGAGATCCACTCAGACAAGACAAGGATACAAGCTGAGCACAATCTGGGACAACGATGGGAGTGTTCATTGAGAGGAATCTTTAACTGGATGAAGAAATGGCTTACAGTGCTACAGGTATCACCACTCAACACATTTATTATTATTGGTCTAATCCTCAGCAAGGAGCACTGTCACCCAGAGTCGGTCACACTTAGAGCAAAGCGATGTCTAAACCTAGGAGCAAACAGTAAGCTTTTAATGCAAAGTGACCTCAGCAGTGGAAATGATCTAGCTATTAAAGCTGAAATCTGAAAATATCACATGTGTTTTGAAGTCTGCTTGCAGCTTGACCACAGAACTCGAGGAGTCTGAACTCTTCATAGGTTTGTTTTTAAAACGGGCAGATTCAGAAAACTCAGCAAGTTTCCCAAGCCCCAATTCAGAAATGTTAAGGGACACTTTAAAATCCCTACCTATTTAGACTCACCAAGAGAAGGAAAAGTCTCCAAAGGTCGTTTTTCATTGAGATAACTTTGCCAGACACACTGGAGAATATGCAACTACAAATTTTTCTACTTTAAAACCAACCTACAGGCACCCCTTTCCTGGGGCCACTTACTCTGAGGCAGGGCAAGTTATGAATTGAAGCCAGAGAAAGGAAGATAAAACATCACTAAAATTTTAAAAACAGAGGGAAAAGTTGCCATGTGTCCCATACAGATAAGTAAAAACAATCCCCAAAAAAGCCAGCTTATGGATTGGAGATTTCTCTTTCTGATAATTCCATTGAAAAATACTCTGACTTGTTCTAAAGAGAAGACAGGGATCTCTCTCTGTCCAGTCTCTCCAGCCAAGTCCTTTGTCTCCACATCCTCTAAGGACACAGGACTGTGAAGACACACGGTGACAAAGAGGTTTTACTTGCACCAAAGAGGGTCTGTAGTTTCAGAATAACTTGCAGACAAGAAGGTTGGTTCTTATTCTTGTCAAGGGACATCAGATTGTAAAACTGGTGCAAAAACTTGACATTTGTGAATTTCAATGGAATTTCAAAGAAAATGCTGAAAAGCAGAAATTTAAAAACAAGCTGCCTTTTTTGCACACAGAACTTTTGGGATCTCAAATAAATGCAGAATTAGAGGGAAGAGCACATCAGGCCCTAAACTCAGGCAAAATAAAAGGCATGGAAGGGAAAAAGAATGAAACCAAACTGTTTCTTAAGCCCTGCTTTAAAGATACCCTGTTCTAAAGAGACCTCAAACAGCAAGCACTACTGTGTACAAAAATAGAATAGCAAGGATGAAAAAACACAAAAAACAGTATGAAAAAAACCCTCCCAAAAATAGATGTACACAAGTTCTATTTTATATTAGTGTATATTACAAAATTCAAACATGCAGTCTCTATTTTGAATGTAGAACACTCCAGTCCATGAGTACCAGCGATGCTGCTATGTTTTCTTTACAGCATCATCATGTGACAGGGGAAAGTCTTGTATTTTTAACTGATTTCCAACCTCTTTGCTTTTTGCTTGTGCCAGAGTCCCTTCTTTACAGGGCCTCGTGCTGCCATCTGGCAGAGGAGACGCTCTCAGAGCTGCTTGTCCAAGAGCATGAGACAGCTCTTTTGACTGAGTGATTTTGCAGCTCCCTGCCAATGCCTCAGATGCTTTAGCACTGCAAAAAAGTGCCTCCTTTTTGACCACCACAGGACATGTTGCCTCCTTTTTGGTCCCCACGGGACACACTGCCTCCCAGGGCTTTGCTGGGTGTAAGGACTCTGCACAGGACCCACTCCTCGTGGTCAGACCATCTGTGCTAGAGGGTTTGGCTTTCTCTTGACATTCTCCTACTTGTGAAATTTCCTGCCTTTTTTGTTTCAAATCTCTCTCCTCTTTAGAGGAAGCACCCAAATCCTTCCTCGTTTCCACGTCTCCAGACCCAGACATACTGAGCTTCAAAGGGCCCAACACGCTCTGGGCCAGGGGCACCAGCTGGGACACGGAGAGCGCGCGCTCGATGGCACCGGGGATGAGGAGCGGGGAGGACACGGGTCCTGCTGGGCTGGTTTTGCTGGAGGTTAAAGCACCCTCTGCCTGGGATGAGCTGGGCTGCTGCTTGTCAGGGCTTGGACTTCTTTGGGACGTTTCACTGGCGCTCCCAGGAGACAGAAATGAGGAGCTGTGCTGTTCCACAGGCTGAGGCGTCTCCTCGTGACCCTTCTCGCCGCGGTCTGGGGGGCTCACCGCGACAGGAGTGCTCGTGTTTGCTGGGCACCATGAGGAAAGTGCCAGCAGAGGTTGGGAATCCTGTTTTTTCTGACTGCTTTCTGTTAGCACAGGCTCTTTCAAGTCAAGTTTACCACAGGAGGCCCCAGAAGAATCACCTTCTTCAAGTTCCAGGAGTTTGATAGATGGGCACTGCATATGTTCTGTGAGATCTACTGGTTTTTGAGTACCTGGAGTTCTCCCAAGATCTTTGATTGCTTCAGAAGACCTGTCTTTTGGACCAAAACACTCCAAAGTTTTGTTTTCTGGCAATTTATGCTCCTTTGCAGTTGTTTCTGATTTTAGGAATGGCTTTTCTGAATTAGCTAGTTTTTCTGGAGAAGTTCTTGAGGGGAGCTCTGGTGGGGAGGGGTGCACACTAATTTGCAGTGGCTCTGAAACAGGCTTTGCTTGTTGAGTATTTCCCTTCTGCAAATCTTCTGTACCTTTTGGATCTTCAGGTAGAAAGGCATCATCTTCAATACTATCCTTGCTTTCCAATTTAGATGAAAACTTATTATCCTCATTAAAAGAATCTGAGCCTTGGTCTCCACTGCCACGGGGCTTGTCCAGCCTTCTTCCATCCTGACTATCTTCCGAACCATCATCTGTTTCATCTTCAGAAGAATCTACTTCCCTGATGGCCTCCTGCTTTTGCAGGGACTCCCTCCTCTCCACCCTGTCCTGCCGAATGGCGCCCAGCTTCCGTGAGCCCGGCTTCTGCAGCATCCCTTTTTCCGCCAGCCCGAGTTTGCTGCCTGTCGTTTCGTTGGCAGATTCCTGGAGGCTCTGGAGGCTGGGATCCCGCTGTAACATCTCCTTCTTGAACTCAGAGTGGGAGATATCCAAGCTGTGCTTCCGTGAGGAGCCCAGCTTCTTCTCAGAGGAGGACAGAGAGGCAGCCAGTTTCTCAGCCGACTGCACTCTCTTCAGCAAAGGAGACCGAGGGGGCTCGGCACTTTTGGGGCGTGAAATTTGTCTCACCAGTGGTGGAGAGGAGTGTAGTTTTACTGGGAAAGACTGGATAATACTGGAGCTGCCAATTGAGTGTCCTGGCAAAGGAGATGGGGAGCGCTGCGGTGACGTGGACTGCGGGGTTGGTGATGGAGTGTGAGCCAGCGGGGACAGAGGGATGTTTCCTGCAGATTTACGCCTCGGAGATCTGTACTGCCTCTGGAGCTTTGGTGCTAGGCCATGCAGGGAACTGGGTCGGATGTGTCCAGAGCTGGCTGGAGAATTGGGAACACTGGAACTGGGAGAGCTGCTCTGAGAAGAATTGCCGCCAACTTAAAAGGAAAAAAAAAAAAAAAAAAAGAAAAAAATACCAAGAAGATTAATACATATTTGGCCATTAAAACAAGTTATTGAAAATCAGTCAAGACACAATGTCATGTTACTCCAAAGCACAGTAGTGATATTGAAGGCAACATTGCCAGGCTTCTGATGGAAATTCACATCATTAGCACCCAACACCAGACCACAGTAAGAAACACTCAGCTATGAGAACACTTTTCTGGAAAAAAACCCCTTTGATCAGACAAACCACGTGTTTCATTGCTATTCTCTGGATGCAAATCTCTTTATTCCAGCAGCTGATTCAATTTTCAAATATGACTTTGCCACACTGTTTTGATTTCTTTTCTCTGAACACAGAAAATGTGTCAAACTGCTATGAAAAGATTTCGACTTACAACACACATTTTCATCAAAGTGGAAGGATGCTGTAGTACAGCAAGTGCATTCTTAAAAGGATGTATGGATTTCCATTTTGAAATGAATCAATGAACAAGAACACATCCATCCTTAAAGTAATCAACATCACCGCTGTCATTTGCTTCACAAAGAGACCTACTACCTGCTGCTGTGTATTTTATTTCCAAAATTAATCAATCAGCAAAAGTCTCCTGCAATATTTTCCTTTCTTGTTTGACTGGATTTTTTGGCTTAGCTTTATTTTGTTTCATGTCTCTTTATTTTACCTGAGTGTACAGACTCTGGAGTGGATCTGTAGCTCTGGGTTGGTGACCGAGGAGACAGGTTGTGAGTTGGAGAGCCAGGCACGCTCTCTCCAGATGACAGAGACCGGTTCAGGGACGATAAACTCCGGCTGGTGTGAAGCAGTGATGCTTGTTTAGTGATCTTCCTCAACAGAGAACTCTTCTTCTTACTGGGGAAGAGCATTCAAAAGGTGTTTACAAGCCCAAACGATTTATTTACCTTTACTAGCATATTTCAGTCAATTTTTTGTCACAGTAAAAGAGAAAAAAAAGGAAGAAAGGAAGAACTAAAGGACACACCTGCTAATATATATGATCTGCAAATGGATTTGACAAGATCTCTCTAAGGATCTCTTACATTATCTTGGTTACCCTTTAATTTTAACAGAGAAACATCAAAACAAACCTTTCCTGACCATCCTTTGTTTTGCTCTTCTTGTTCCTACGAGCCATCTTGGATTTGTAGCTGGCTTTTCGAGCTGGACCAACTTTGATGGATGTGTTCTCAAATGGTGTGGTGGAGATGGACACTTTATTTCCACTCTGTCAGACACAAGACAAAGAGACATTGCTTAAAACATGGTTATTTGAAGCAGATTTGCAGGCAAAGCAGATAGGCTGCTAGTTTATTGCTGCCTGCCATTTTGTAATCCTTTGTCAAACTCCATTTTTCCCCTCAGCATTTCCACCTATCATTTATTAAGGAATTGCCGAGAGAGAGCCCTCGTTAGTCAGGCTTTCACAAATGATTAGCTCAGACCCCAGCTGGTAGGTAAAGCTTCCCAGAGCAGGCAGAACACAGCATCTGACCTCTCCCATTGAGATCCCAAATGACTCAATTTAATACTTGTAATACTTGGAAACTTGAACAAAGTGATATTCTGTCACCAATCCTATTCCCAGTGCTCTGACTGATGGCAGATGTGAGCATATCAGGCATCTATCATGATGAATCTGCAACACAGAGCATGGCTTGTCTCACTCATGTTAAAAAAATAATAATCCTGACTGCTCCTCTATTTGCAATCCCAAAGACGTCTGTCTCTTGGAACAGTCCAGAACTTTGGGGTTTTTTTCTGTAAATGGATTCTGCTCAGAGAGGTATCAAACACAAGTCATTTAACTGGATAATTTCAACACCAAGCTGCTCTTAAATACCACCAGGTGCTGTGTGCACACTTGAATTTCAGACAATGCCAATTACATACATTTTAAACAAGCTGCTCATGTTTTCCAAAATGCACCAGTGCTGAGCCCCTACCTTCAGAATCAGCTCCACCACTTCGGTGTGCACCAGCCCGTGCACCGGCTCCCCGTTGACGTGGGTGATCAGGTCCCCTTCCCGCAGACCTGCTTCGTTGGCCGGACCCCCTTCCTCCACGTGCTGCCAACAACAAGGGGGGACTGCTTTGAGAAGGGGAATGGGCGAGGCCACTGGCCCAGATGGGACTCAAAGCCCATCTGTGTCACCTCCTGCCACAGCCAGCGCCAGCTGCTTCTGAGAAGGGGGAAAGAAATCACCCCTGGCAAGGCCAAGCACAAAACCCTGCGCTCTTCCACTCCTCCCCAGCATCCCTGTCTTATCCCAGTCCAAGGCAGACAGGATGGTTAAGCTGATCGAGAGACCAGCTCTTCCCATAGCAAAGGGCTTAACACACTTCCAAAAATTTTACAGCACCCAGGAATGTTACCCAGATACTCTTGATTTCCAGACAAACATTCAGCCTCTTTCAATTTCTTTGCCATCCCAAATCCAGCATCCTTCCATGTACATGCTGGAACCTAAGGCGGCCAACAGACTTTTAAGGAAGACTCTGCCATGTGTTTAAGGTGCCTATATTGCATCTCATCCCAAACAGAGTTTCTTTTTCTACTTTCCATCCTTTATTAACCTATCCAATGCCAGACTTTTCCCCTGTGAACACACTGCCTTTCCCCTGTCCCTGGTCAGGAATGTAAGCCTCCTCCTTCACCATGAGGAGCCAGATGTGCAGGAGAATGCACATCTCTCTCTAGCCAGGAAAGATTCCAAATGAGTATCTTGGTATACTCAGCGTTGTTCAAGAAAAGCAAGGGAGGGGCAAGGCAAAAATTCAGTTTCAGATTATTTCTCTCAGAATGAGTGTTAAATAAGGACCAAAGGGTGTGAAGTCCACATTATCTAATGAACACAGAAGTGCAAGGGAAAGAATGAATCACCTTTACCCTGACTGCATTCTCCCTACCTACACAATCCTAACAACACTGCTTCAGGGAATGGATCATTCCTAGAAGTCATCTAGACTGACACAAAAGGAACAGAGATCAAGTACCAGCAGCAGTGGGAAGGAAGCAATACAGACATGGAAACCAGACCTTTTCACTGACACAAAAGGAACACAGAGATCAAGTACCAGCAGTGGGAAGGAAGCAATACAGACATGGAAACCAGACCTTTTAGCACAGCTCACAACTAAACCAAGAGCTAAATCCCATGGCAATCAGCATAGCAGTGATGCTTTAAGGCTTGTAATCAATTCCAAGCGACTGCTTGGAAAACCCCAGCAGACTGAACTGATCAGAAGCAGGTTATAATCACTAACACAAGCCTGAATAAATTAGCTATAATGGCCCCTCATGCAACAACCCCAATAAAGAGAAAGAGGGTATGTACACAGAAACATGCTTTGAAGGATATGCTGCAGGTGAAAGAAGGTGGATTCATGTAACCAGGGAGAAAAGAAGGAAAGAAAGTTTGCTGTGGTTCTGTGATGGGCTTGAAAACTATTGGAAAACCCAAAGTGCTGCTATTTATTTATTTATTTATTTATTTATCTAGGGCTCCCCCCACCAAAAAGACAACTTTGGGTGTGATTAAGGAGAGAGAAAACAAGGTGGCAAAACACAATCTCTAGAGCTAAACCCCACACCCCTGGCTAGATGCATTTGTGGCCCCGAGGGTCCTGTTTGCAGAAAAGCAGAGACCTACCCAGACCATGTGATGCACAGTGTAGATATCACTGTCACCCATATAGACGCGAATGGCGCGCAGAGTGAAACCGTATTTCTTTCCAGCCCGATGGATGATGATTGGTGGTTTCAGGTTTGCGATAGCAGGAGAAAAGTCGCGGCTGGGTGAGGAGTCCCTCGAAGATGGGTTGGAGGAGAGAGAATGAGGTGACATTGGACTGGCCAATGGAGAACACGTGTGGTGATCTACAGTGATGACATAAAGGTGGGCAAAAATTAGGAAAACAGGCCTCCGAAAGAGAGAAAAATTCTTGTTAGAGCAGCTATGAAACTGTATCTTCTAATGGTCTTAAAGCTGGTGGCCTTCACCAGAGCTGGGTCTGTCTGCAGCTTCAACTAATTCAGGCCTTGTAGTACAAACAGCAGTGTCCAAAAAGGCACATTTGGAGGTGTACATTTAGTGCACTGCTCATACAGAATTATGGCTGGGTCACAGTGTTCTCTACTTCTCTTTCCAGGATTTACAACACATCATGAGCATTTTCTCTAGGCACAATCCTGCAACACCCCATTTCCAGGTTATCAGGTATTATCCTCCTCCAGAAGATCAGATGTCTCTAGATCTTGGTGCAAGTTACACACTGGTGCTGAGATAAATCCAAATCAGTTAGTATTAACACAAAAGGAATGAGCAGGTGATCAGACAACAACTATGTCTAGGCAGTTTTGGTAGTGTTTTAAATTCACAGGGGCAAAAATATCTAAAATATTAGCTACTGCAGGGCCTTTCTTACTGAAAAGCAACATCACAAGTTACTTTTGATTGAGTTTCCCAAGTGAAAAGCCATGGGCTGGGCTGTCAGATAAACTACCTGACTCTGCTTGCTGGTGGAACAACATCCACTTTTTAAAGTACAAAGCAAATACAAAACTCTCATTTTAAAGTGAAGCTGGTCAACACCAGTAAAATAAACCCAAAGAGCAGGAATACTAAATGCAGCTGTAGAAGGTAATCTCTAATCCACTAAGAAACACCTGCTGAATCGCCCAGCACATATTTACCTGGCAGATGAGAGCAGCTCTGGAGAAACCTTTGCTGGGTGATTAAATACACATTTTAGAGGTTTTCATGAGGGAGTTGGTAGTTCAAAAAGCAACCGATGCCCAAAGCACAAGAAATGTGATGTGCATCACCACAAGGCTGCCAAGAGCAGGTGCATTCCTGCCTCCAGCTCACTGCTGGGAGGAAAAGGTGGGCATTGCTCATGGCCCAGCTGCATTCCCTGCTCCCATCCAGGCAGGAACAGGCACAGCCCTGGACATGCAGCATGGTCTTATCCTCTGGAAAGGGACAAAATTCCTGTGAGGAGAAACTCCTTCTGCTGAACCAGTCTGTCACAGCTCAGAATGGCTGAGCTGCTCTCTAGGAGTTATCACCTGGCATTGGGAATTGTAAAGGTCTGGTTTTGCTTGTAGACAGAGCTGGGCCAAGAAGGTGAGCAGTTCAGCATTGACTTAGTGAGTTACTTACACTGTTCAGTTCTTGAGCACTCAATCTCAACCAAGTTATCTGGAGTTTCTGAAACTTCCCAGTGCATAAATGCACCAGACACATTTCATTCCCGAACAGCGCTGCAGTTAGCATGAGACCCCAAAAACCAGCGCCTTGAGGGTTAAAATAATTTTGTGTCTCTATACCTCCATGCTGCACCATTGTCTAGAGACCAGCTAGGAGTCAATTTGAACAAAACCAAGGGAAGAACAGGGCCCAGCTGGCAGAAGCTGCAGTCAGACCACACGCACAGCGCTGCTGTCTGTGGCACAGCAGTGCTCATCAACCTGCGAGCAGGAAATATTAAACCAACTGTAAAAGTTAGCTCTCTCCCCTCCTGCCAGCCAAGGCATTATTCCAGGAGAGCGAAGGGGGAGGATCTGTCTGCAGACCTTTTGTTTAGTGCTTGCAGATTCTGACAATGCCTCACTCAAGGCATTTCTTACCTGAGGGAATCAGGAGAGACAAGGCAGTAGCGGATGCTGATTTAATCACTTTATTGACAGGTCTCGAGGTGCGTTTCTCCCCTGATTCCCCAGAGAGCAACCTGTGTCGTGCCCGCCGCACTGCCAAATCGCTGATGGCTTTTGGAGTGGTAAAGTCTGGGCCTTCATTGCTATTACTGCGAGCTCGTGGATCAGAGAAATCTGCAGTGCTCCCAGCTACAGTTTAAATTAAAACAGATTAGAACCACAGGGAATTCCTAACAGTCTATTCCCCTACAGGCAAAATACATTAAATCAAAGTCATGTTTACATGAAGTCCAAGAGTAAATTTTCCTAAGAAGAAACCCTAGGGCTTGAATTTTTATTTACAGAAAGGGTGTTATTCCGAACACAGAAAATTAGCAGCTTCTATTCTGTGGAAAAGCTCGCTAATGAAATCACATTGCTCAGTGGCAGTTCCATGAATCCTAAAGCCGTGGTGCACTTCTGCACACCATTTCAATGGGATCGTTCACAGATGAAAATGGGTTTACAGAAAGTGCTGCATTTTTACAACCAGCAAGAACTGTCAATCTTTAAGTTAAAACTGCCAGTAATAGAAGATCCAGGTTCTACTGGAGCTGCACATAAAAAATCCACTTTAAGAGAATACTAAGGTACTCAAGTCAGGGAAAGTAAAAATGTGCACTGCAAAGACAACGTTAATTTGCCCCCTTCTGTGCACCACTGCAATTTAGTCTTGAATTACTTAACCTGCTACAATTATATATAAAATGCAAAGTAATCTTGAAGATCAGACTGGGCATGTAACAACAGCAGATGCTGGGGGTTGGGGGTCCTGTTCTCAAGGCCAGTGCCTCAGTCCCCCATGTGATACCTTAAAGGGGCACTGTGAAAATACAGTAATTAGAATTTACAAGGTGCTTAGAAATGAAAGTGGTGAGCCTCACAGCAACTCCACAAGGGAAATTAATCATTCTGTCTTCAAAAGCAAATTTTAAGCAGCATGCAATAAATAAAGCCTAAGGGCCACATTTTGAACAATGAGGACAGAACAAAACATTGATCATCGTTATTTAAGTGGGCAGCACTGCTCTGCATACTAAGTGAAGCAGGAAGTATCATGAAAATAAAAATTTGAAACACTATTCCCATAGACCTCAGGACCAGATGCTTGTTCAACATTTAAGAGGCACAGAGTTCCAAATCAGGCTTCCAGAAAATGAGGAACCTGAATTCAGAGGCTGCATGGGAAAAGGTGCCATATAAATTAGGGGAGCAGTCTGAGGCAGTGACAGGAATTAAACTCCTTTCAAGCCTCTGACCTGGGGACACTGAAGCACTGGTATCCCTGGATTCCATGCACTAGATCAAAGACTGCTCTAATGTATTGAGCTCAGGGGAGCAGGCTGCCCAGGAGAACTTCATTTTTGCCAATCCCACATTGCAGATACTCAAATTAGCAATGGAAGTGTTCTTGCCATTTTTAACAGCATGTTTCTAGGCTCTTAGCATGAAATTGAGAGCCCAAGGTTTCACTTATGGTACCTATGCCAAACAAGTATGAGGCAGCTTCCTTCCTTTACCCTTGTACCTCTTCTTCATATGATGGCAGCACCAGGTCTCTTCAGGGAGCATGGGCAATGAAGGGGAATGGGAATTTCAAATTTTGAAGGAATTTCACAGATTGGATTGCAGAAGAGGAGTAATAAGATGTAGGAATCTTTGGCTTTACTCTGGAGGCAAATTTCTTCTAGGGCATTTCCACCTTCTGCTATCAGTCCCCCATCACATCTGCCCAGTGCCCTCCACCTTGTCCATTCTTGCTGCCATTCTGACTACTTCCTCAGTACCCCTTTCCTCTCCATTCTCAGTGCATCACAATTGCTTTGCCTGCTTGCTCCCAGTTTGTCCCAGCAACTTGTTTCTTATTTTGTTACCCAGTTAGTCCTTGTTATTCAACCCTACAATCTAGTCCTTCCCCTAATTATGCCTTCTTTCTCAAATTTTCTTTTGCCAACCTCCATTTCAACTTCCCCTCTTTCTTCCATTGTTCCAAACTTCCTTTCTTTCCCCCTCCTTACTACTTTGCAGCAGTTCCCAGCTCTGGCCTCCTCTGTTCTCAGAACAGGCAGCTTCACCCCCTTGGCTTCCCAATGCCCTGGAAGGAGCAGGAGCTGGGAACACTCCAGCACCCAGAGCTCAGTCCTGCACCGCAGCAGCCCAGGGCACCACCATAGGAAGGTTCAGCTCAGCCCAGAGCTGGGGGAAAACCCCAGGACAGTCAAAGTTGCTGAGAAATCAAACACTGACTTCTAAGAGCCACTCTACTAAATTTAGGCTGCACTTTTCTGAGACTACAACTGGATGAATTTCGGCGTATTTGGCTGTTAAAATAAGTAGCATGTCCCTGACACAAGCCCCACTTCCCCAGCACATTTCAAGTCTCTCCAAACTCTTGGGATAAGCAAAACCCCAGGAGGCAGGGATCTGTTGGTATGGCTGACACCCACGTTCTCCAGCTCCAACTCAGCAGTGATCTGTTCTGACTAATGCTTAAATTAATGCTGTCTCAGGTAGGCACCCAGTGGTTGTAAGTAGGCATAGATCAAATGATTCTCAAGCATGAGAAGAACTAAATCAATTTGAAGCGACAGAACTGAAATCTAAGATGCAATTTTGAGGAGATGAAACCACTGGCACTATTTCAAAGGCAAGCACATCCACAAAAACTACACTAAAAGTGTTTTTTTAGCAAGATCTACTTAGCGTGAGGCACTCACATCCCCTGACACCCAGAGCCAGTTTTACAGAGCTCATCTCTGCGAGGTAACACGGCCTCCTTGGGGAGCAGGACACCCCCACACCAAGCACGTACCTGTCAGCGCTGAGGCGCTGCCGGCGGCCGTGGAGGGCGTGGTGGCTCCAGCATCCCCTTCCAGCTGCAGCTCGTGCTCCACAGGCTGTTCTGGGATGGGCAGGGGCAGCCCCTCCCGCGCCTGCACCGTGGACAGGAGCATCCCCTCGGACTGGGGCCGTTTGAGGGCGGCCCCCTCGTCCTCGGCGGAGATGGCGAAGCGCGGCATGTCCAGGAGCCCCGAGCAGCGGCGCCGCACCGTCAGCGGCGGGCTGGAGTCGCTCTCCGTGTGCGAGGACTCGGACATGGACAGGCGCTTGCGCAGGCTGCGGGCACAACCAGACAGGGCCCCAGGTGAGTCGGGCCAAGATCAACTTGGAAGGGTGAAAACGGGGCACAGACACAACTCAACGTGACTGAAACCAGTGTAAGGTGAAGTTTGGTGGCCAAGCTACAACACTGGGAGTTAAAACAACAAAGGCTTGGGGGATCGCCTGAGTTTAGATTTCCAACTGTTAGGCTTCTAGGAAAGGAAGGGATAAACCCAAAGAAAAATACAGTACAATGAACGTGGTATTAAATATTATTTTTTTAAAAATCACAGTTGCAAAATGCAAATAATCCTCCATGATCCTTTTGGAATTAGTTGAATTTTTCTTTCGAAGTTGCTCTAAATTAGAAGCCAGGAAGGCCTAATGCAAAATGAAGAGCACCTCAGCTATGAGTGCAATCTGTAAAACATTTTTAAGGGAGTCATACAGACTAGGTCAGAGCCACATTTTATGCTCTCTCTAATGCCAAACATTAGTGTAAGGGTTTTACAGGGGTTGCACAAAATGAGAGACATCCCTTTTATACAGTAAGTTTTCAGTAATGCCAGAAACATGGCAGGTATCCAAATTGTGGGTATTCATATATTTTACTGACATTTTTTATTAGAGCACAAGATTTTTTGGGCATATTCTGAACTTTTGAAACTTTGAACTTTCCTAATGATTTCTCTACTTTGTAACAAAAGGTCAAAGTCTGGCAACACCAGAATTTGCATTAATTTAAGAAAAAAACTGATGTGGCTACATGTCTGACGTAACATACAAAATTTGCCCTTAAGGTTAGAACACCTTTAAATTCATTAAAAGTATTTGCTAGAGATTTAGAAGATGTTAGTACTTAACTAGATACATTTAAGAATTGTATAGGTTCTACACATTCACTTTTAGCTATTCAACCCTTCTTGTAGAAATACAACATTAGAAGCTCTCCTCACTAAACACTGGTCATAGAAAGTTTTGGGGGGTGTTTTTTAGCTGCTGTGGGAGAACAGAAGACTCAGTTGCACAGAACTCACATTTCAGGAGACCCAATGACCCAGCTGCGGTCGCGGCTCTTCAAGCCCCCCAGGCTGTCCAGCCGATCGTCCTTCTCCTCGCTCAGGCTCCGCTTGGTTGGTGGGGGAGTCTTCCTCTCCTCGTGGATGGAAAGTCGCTCCATGCTGCTGTACACCTGCGTGCAGCAAAAGATCCTTCTGAGCAGGGAAAACCAACCCAGGGGCCTTTTCTGAGCAAGGGGGAAAATCTCCTCTTGAAATTCCCTCCCAAAAGCCTGAACTTGGGAATGTTCTTTGACCAAGTAACACAGTGCGGGTGTGACACGCTCAAGGTGCGCCAGGGAGGAAAGGAAAAAGGCCCAGCCTCAGAAACACTAAAATTCTTTTCTACAACAGCACCCAATGCCTCTCCTTTGAAAACAAAACAGAAATACTGACAAACTTCATGAAATTACTTTGATTTTTGGTTTTAACTATTCTCAAATCCAAGAGGAGCTATTGCTAAAGACAGCTGCACAACTCTTGAGGGCTGGCATCTGGATCTTGAAATCTTACTGCACAAATTCACTTCAGTGATAGGCATCATGCTCATGGCCCCATTTCATTATCAGTCTATCAGCATTGCCCCAAGCTTATTTCAGAACAAAAAAGTCCTGCCCTCCTCAAGGAATCTACTATAATGCTGACAGCTTAATGAAAGTGCCTTTCTTGGTTTTACAGCCGTCTTTAAATAATTAAATGATTAAGCAAAAAAATCCATCCTTTTAAAACTACACTTGACTGTGGACCTAATTTACATAAGAAGAGATTAATGAAAATAATGTTATTAAAAATTCAGAGCATCAACAAGATAACTATTAATAAATCATATGGCTGAATTGTCAGACAAGAATTTCAAAATATAATGAGCCTTTTATGCCTCCCACATTACAAATGCTGTATAATTTTGCAGGTCTTAAAAAAAATTCATTAAAAGTGAACTTTCTCTCTTTGTGGCAAAAACATTGAACCCTAAAGAAAAGCTTCAGTCTAACAAATGAGTAATACTCATGGTGAGAAAAGGCAGAGAAAAGAAACTCTTACGTACTCATGAGAACTTTTTCAAAACACCAACTAATCCTCAGGTCCAATTTTAAACATACTTTTAGTGATGCAAATCAGGAGCAACTCCATTAAATTAAGAGTAACTGTTATTTAAACCACTGCAGCCTGGTTGAGGACAAAGAACAAACTGGTCCTTAAAAACTGACTTCAGCAGTGGAAAACTGGAGGAACTGCTGTGAAAAACCAAAATACCATTCAGAGCTCCTAAGTAAAATTCCTTCTCCCATCTTACTAAGAGGGAAATACAATTAATGAAGTGGCTGCCTCAAAACAGCATTTCTTCTCCCTTCTGCCCCTCCCAAATATATTATATTTTATCAGGAAGATCAATGTAGTCCTTTCCTTCTAGTTATGTATTTGAAAACACCAGAGGTTTTATGTTTTGTAGAACTCAGGTCATTCTTGCTGCTTTCCTCTGAACTCCCTTTTAATGGTCCATGTTCATTTTCAAGAACATTGCCCAGTACAGACCAGAATACCCCAGCTATGGCCTTCCTACTGGTAAGCCCAGTATGGAAATTTATTGCTTCCATAATTTGGCACATCTAACTCGTGAATGACTATGTGCTGAGACCCTTCTCTTTGAAATTGTCACCTTGCTTTTTGCTTCTCAGGCTGTATTTGAGACAATGAGTGATGTAAACTTACTGATGTTCTTACCCCTTTGATTTGAGACCATTATTCCAAATGTCAGAATAGATTTTCTTCCCAAAACCATTCTGTCACCCATGGAAGGTCCTTTCAGAATGACACTGCTCAAAGCAAGTAAGTTTTGGATATTCCCTATGCCAGCATCCAGGTCACTGGTAAAAACATCAGACTGCATCAGATGCAGAAGAGAACTACACAGTGCCCTGCATATTGGTGAAACATTAAGAAATATAAAATGTCATTCTCCAGTTATTCTGGTAGTCACCTTCCAACAGGCCACAAACTACCACAGAATAAACAACTCATGCAGTGTTTTCTTTCCTCAGTGAACACCACACACCCTGAGATCCCACAGAGCATCCACATGATTAAAATCTGCCCTATACAAAGCAAAGAAACCTTGCTCCTCTCTAGACTGTTTTCTTTCATCAAGTTAGCATGTCCCTACCTTGCTGAACCTGGGCGAGCACGAGGAAAACTGCCGAATTTCCACATGATCATCATCATTAGTGTCCTCCTCTTCTTCTGAATCCAGGTGCTGGTAGCGTTCTGAACGGGCTGGGAACAGGACATGGCACTTGCTTCAGTGTGGGGAGTGTTGGCAACTCACATCTCAAGCATTGCTACTGGTCTGCTTAAAGAACTTGGAATGTTTATACACCATGCAGGGTATTTCCCTTAATCCTGAAACATACCCAGCCAGTTTTTGCTCATCCCGTGCAATTGCCAATGAAGAATATCTTCTTGGCACTTAATTTATCTTATTCTGTCAGCTGTATTCCATTCTGGAAGCAGCTGATACTCAAAAGGTGTCTAATCCTGCAGACCCTTCATGGTAGGGATATTTCTTTCCTACAGCAAACAATCACGTGGAAGGAAACATGGAAACAATTCACTGTCCAACTTTCCAATAAACAGCTTTTTGATTACACAGTCTGTCCTGCATACATACATAGATACAAGCCTACTTAAGAAAAATAAAAATATTTACCCCAAAAGAAAATCTCCTCTTTTTCCTCTTGCAACTAGGAAAAGGATTAGATTTTGTGAAAGAAAATGGGCAAGCAGCCAATATGCAAAGCTATTTTTAATGCAAAAACTTCTTCCAAAGAGATTTTGTGCTTTGAGATTTGCAGCACTGGATTTCCAAGCCAGCCACACTGGATTTTGTGGGGCAGGCACTAATAAGTTTGGCTACAGAAAGCTGATAACTACACTGAGCCAAATTTGCTGCACCACATCAGCTAGAAAGCTACTTTTAAAAATTCTAACATTTTCTGCATTAGGGTTTATAACAGCAACACCAACTCCTATCAGTGTCTATGTGAGATACTTCCTGATGTGAGAATTCCAGCCTTTATAAAGGACTCACATCAAGGTCACCCTGACACCAAGAGTGCCAGGGCAGTGGGGAGTTTCCCATGGTTCTGACTTGACAGACCCAGTGGTTTTGCTTTTATCCACCAGGATCTGCCCCTGACTCCAGCTGCTCTCCGCAGCAACCAGGCAGAGATTTCTCAATCCATCTTTCTCTGCCAATCCTACCTCTCCAAACAAGCCCCAGCCTAAAAGCCCCTTCCCCAAACTGGAAGAGCATTATCTAAATGGAATCACTGCTTGTGCAGTGTGAGAGCCAAGGGGCTGGAGGCAGCTCCTCTTTCCCTCCTTTCACTCTCAGCAAAACAGGAGCAGAGCAAAAGTGTGCTTCACAGATTCAACCAGGCCAAGATGGGAGAGATTCCATTGATGCAGAGAAGAAATTTCCATATCTCAGGGAACTGAAACAGCCAGTATCCTCTTCTGCAGCTGGAGAGGGGGAAAGATCTCACCCTAACCAAGCCCTTTCCACCTGCTCAGCTCCCCAAGTCAAATGAGAAAAGTTAGGGAGCAGAGGTTCTGGGAACAGAGATCTCTCCATCCCTCTTGTGACGCTCCTCCCTTCTTTCCCAAGAGCACTGACTCTGTCTGGTGCTTATCTTGAAATACCAGGAATCTTACACAGCAGTGATAGCATGGCAGTTCCCAGACATTTATACACACCAGACAGACACTTCATATCTCATTAGAGCTAGTAATACTAGTAATATTAAAATAAAGCAATACACTTGCAGTGAAAATAATTCAAATTACTTCAAATCTCTTAAGAATTTTCCCCACATACTTGTCTTCAAGATCTAGGGTTTGTTTTGGGTTTTTTTAAAAACATTTATTGGCTGAAAACAGTCACTAGGGAAAGATCATGTTGCTCAAAAACTCAAGGAATTTGGATTTACCAAATGCTTTGGAAGAAGTTTAATGAACCCAGCATGACAATGGCAGCACCTCTCGCTGCAGGCCCATGGCTGGCAGGACCACAGACACCAGTGAAAGGCCAACTGACTCCAGCAGCAACATTTTTTCATTTAAAATTAATTTGCCTTCAAAGAAACCTTCCTTGGCATTCCACAGAAACTTTTTAAAGCAATTCCCATCAAGCATTTTATTCAATTTCTAAAACGACTTATCTCTAACAATTTCAAAAATGAAATATGCACAAGAAATATGATGCTGTTTAGGCCAAATCTCGAGTCTTACTGTCAAAATAGCTTGTGTCATCCTCAGATTCCAGCTGTGGGATGAATTCAGCTTTCTGCCGGAGTAATCCATTCCAGTCCAGATCTTTAAAGAACCGATGCTGCTTCACTTCAAAGGCACTACCTGAAATAAGCACCTTTTATTGCAGAGTATTTCTTTCAGCATTTGCATAACATGAAAAACAAACCCTAAAAATATCAAAAGCCTAAGAGAATGTACTCAAGTATTTCTAAGACACACATTTTCCAGGAATTTTGAGAAACACCTTACCCTTTAACCAAAGTGGTCATGCAGGATAGAACCTGAACAAGATTTCCTCCTTCCCACCTCCTCTTCCTGCTTAGCAACAACACAGAGGCTGGAAGACAGCATCTGCTGTTGCATTGCACAACGAGTTGCAAGATTAAGAACACCTTAATTTAAAATTTTCAAACTCTAAACACCATCTTGTCCATAACTGAACAAGGACAGCAAACTCTGAGAGGCACTTAGAATGTGAGTGACAACTCACAACTCCACTGTTGTGAATAAACTCATTCATGTGCCTAGAACAAGACAGGGCTCACCTATCTTCCTGAATTAGTATCTATTGTTATTAAGCTCAGAAGCTTGGGTACCCAGAAGGAAAAAGTAAAGACTATCTGTCTACCCATTTATGCATTTTTTTTAAATGAAATTAATATTCATTGCAGATGCTACCATCTGAAAAGAAAAGAAAAGAGCAGAGGAAAAGAGATAAAAGGTTTGCTGAGTGCCAGTGGCACTACAACATGCCAAGTGAAACAGCAGTCTCAGCACTACAGGTATATAAGAAATCAAAAAAAAATCAGTCCATCAACTCCTTTCATAAGGCTAGAAACTCTACATCTTTTCCATGACAGCAACATCTTTCAAGTACATGGATTTTAAGTAGAGAAGAACATGTGAAAACCATCTGATATCATTATTAATTCATGATCTATTCATCACCCTTGTGTGCACATGTGCTAAGTCTGCTGAATACATGTACCTTTTGGAATTGTTATATATTTATCTCTAAGCTTTTTTTTTTAACCTTAAAGTGCAGCTTTGAATTGAAAATCCCAAATTAAATTAAACTAATCAAATCAATGAAAGATAAGCTGTCATGTGAAGCCACAGTGTTGCACAAATTACTTTAAAACAGGAGTGCAGCTAGAGATCATTTACGATTATTTACTATGAGGAAATGAGAAGTGTTGGCTTGTAAAACTTCCAATCTGACATTATGATGCAGAAAGACTGACAGACATATCTGACTTTGCCAAAAAGATTATCAGACTTTGCTGTATGTTTGGAGAATTCTACACTACAGGCCTCTAGGAATGGGAACATTTTCATTTACTTTATTACACCCAGGAATTCACATCCATGGCAGGGATTAAGCTTCTACTCAAAGAGAACTTCAAAGAAATCTGATTAGACACTGTTCAAATGGAGACACAACCCTCAAGCCTACAATGGAACAGCACAAATCAGAGAAGTGCTGTTGCCAAGCTGACAGTGCCCCTTTCCTGTTTCCCAGACAGGACAGGAATATCTGCCTGGCTCACGGACATGTGACACTAATTCCCAGAGCTCCCCCACACTGAATCCAGTACAAACTGCTCCCCAGCTCTAGATGAGCATTCCTCAACACGAGTGGGTGTGCTTCACTGGCCAGGTAGCTTCATCCCCTCCTTCTGGGCAGTGTTCTCCTGTGCACAAGGCTCTTACCTGTTCCCATTCTTTCCAGAGGATTTTGGCGAAGAAGCTTAGAAATGAGGTCCTGGGCATCTGGGGGCAGTGCATCATCTCCTTCTGGCCAGGCAATTTCATCTGGGGACAAAAAGAGACTTGACATTTTCTACCAGCTTCCCAGCTAATTTGAATAAGCATTCATACTGCTACACCTCAAAGTGCAGCGTTGAGAACTGCCCCAGAAGCATAAATACCTTGAATTCAGCAGCTTAATATAATTCAAGCATTGACATTTTTCAAAATGCATAAAATTCAGCATCAGCTAAAGCTGCTGTCAATCCAAGCAGTGCTTGTGGAGACAAAAAAAAGAGCTTTAAGGACTCTATTAATAAAGTATGAAATGGGACTTCCATGACAATCCATAAACAAAGGCAGTGACAATACTGTGGTTGTATCTCCTGCCTGCACATTCCAGAGTCGTTATACTTGGAACAGAGAGAACAATTCACAGGTAACAATTTCATGCATCATATTTAGTGCTTTGATGAAATTTTCTTCTTACAAAGGACATCTGCCAAGTGTGTTAAAAATTTACTGCTTCAGAAAGCATTCCCAATAGAAAATTATTTCACTGGAATATTCACTGAGTGAACACAAAGCAATTGTCTGTCCAACTCCAAGCATGAGAAAGGTTTAAAAAGCCACAAGATGTGAAGGTACTGAGTACAACAACTTCAATGAATTGTGCCCAGAATTTCCTTTCATTTCACTTACACAAAATTACTAACTGACTAGCATTTGGACCTACAAAAACAATAACCAGAATCAGCCTGAATTAGATCAGTTGGGGGCTACTCCTTTCAAATTCTCCATCATTTAAGTTAAAAGACAGAACAGAAAAATCCCCAAATATTTTTCATCAATCCCACAAGGATTTGTATGACTCCCACACCATGAGAGAACTATTTAGGAAGATGTTAAGCAACACAAGTTTCCATAGCTGAAATCAGATGGAAGCTGCTTTGACACAGAAATTTAGAAACACCAAAATTAAACCCCATTATTTTATACCTACTCCTTTCTGACTAAACTGTGGACCCTCAATATTTTCACAGCGCATTTTAAAGTCCCCGCAGAGGCAGAGCCAGAGCAGAAGCTTACCACTGATCACTTGTCCAAACAGCTCTTCAGGTGTGTCCCCAAAGAAAGGAACGCAGCCGACCAGGAACTCGTAGAGGATGATGCCCATGGCCCACCAATCCACAGGCTTCCCATAGCCCTGGCGCAGGATCACTTCTGGTGCAATGTACTCTGGAGTCCCACACACCTCAAGAGAAACAGGCAAGAAAGCAATACATTTACAAATTGCCAAATGCATGTCAAAGCTTGTCTTTTTTTTTTCTTTCTTTTTTTCCCCCCTTCAGAGCTTTTTTTTTGCCATTAACCACTTCATGCTGTGAACTACTTCCATGGAGCAAGAGTCTATATTTGAACAAGACATTACCTGCACAGAAATAACATCACATGAAATTAAATGTTCCTAGTGTGGACATGCCAGCTAAGTAGTTCTTTGGTGCATGCACAGGAAAGCATATGGGAAAAATGCATATTCTGTGTGTTTAGGTCTGACAGCTTGATGGATGTCTGCTGGCACAGCTACAGCTATCAGGAACTGAGTTTTGACAAACCTCTCACATCTCTGTGCTAACTGAATTTAGTTTCACAGATGCAGAATTAGCAGCCCAGCATGATTACACACTTCAGCCTTAATCTTGGGAGGTACAGCTGGCATGGACAATGGCTAAGGAAATTACCTTGGAAGATCTAAATTGCCTGGGGCTTAGAAGCAGCAACAACAATAACAAAATAGTTGTAAAAAATGTACCACTGTGAAGTACAAGAATATGATCTAATGACCTAGGAGAGTTCTGTTAGAAAAAGCATCCTTACTCAGAAGACAACAGGAAGACAACACCACAGGATAATTATGAATCAACACTTGGCACAAATAAAAATTCAGCTGAAAAATTCAGCTGTGATCCTAGGTATTTTCAGAAGAGAGAAGCATTTTTTAATCCCATATACAAGGCACTGGCGAGCCTGCCTCCAGAACAACCATGTACAGAAAATATCAACTCAAACAGAAAGAGTTACATGCAAGAGCTATTCATTCATCAAAGGAAAATCTATCTTGTTAGCTACAAGAACTTAGCTGGTTAAGCCTAGCAAAATGAAGGCTAAGGAGAAAAATGACCCTCAGTAAATATCATGGGGATAAAAATCAATGTTTAAGCTGTTAGACAAAATTACAAGAAGCATATAGAAACTTGCCATGAACTTTCTAAGCACCAGAAGGGGGAGATCGTGGAACAACCTTCTGCAAAATCCATGTTACATTCCTAAACCCATTTCTGTTTACACCTGCACTGCTGCCTGGGCCACCCTTTCAGCATCCTAAACTAAGAGCTGAAGTGCATGACTCCAAAACAAGAAGCTGAAATAACAAACTATGTCAATTTATGTACAAACATGAGAATGGACTTGTATCTTTTCCTCCCATTTTATAGTGCACAGCACAGCATCAAGGCAGAGAAGGAGTGCTATTAACTTTGATTCTAACCCATGACAGAATGATGCATCTGATCCCACATCAACCGACAAATTTTTTCAGCTTACCTGCTTGTCCAGGAATTCCCTGGTATCCTTCTCAATGTGGCCCTCATAAAGATTAGTTGTAAGACTCATTAACCCAATTTTGGACAGTCCAAAGTCTGTTAGTTTAATGTGACCCATTGAAGTTATCAGGAGACTAAAAGAAAGAGAAGTAAAATAATGCAACATTCATTTAATTGTTTCCCAAAAGCAATTTCAAACAAAAAGAACACAAGATAATGTGAAGGACAATCTCAGTGTTACATCCCCATTAAGCACCTGGAAGAAACCTCCTATGCAGCCAAATATCACAGAGCAGACAAGGCAGCCAGGAGTGGGACTACCTTCTGCCAAAACACCATCAGTGTAGCAACATCTTTGGGATAATATACCTGAAGACATTCTTCCCACCCTTTCTCAGTGCCTATCTGCTTCTACATCAGTAGCAAGAGACTCCATAAAACCTCCTTTATGCCAGATGCAGTTGAAGATCAATGCTGTCTCCAGCCCCCATGTCCTGTTACCTACAGAGAAAGCCCCTGAAGGACTGGCTCTGTTCCCTCTGAGGGCCCAAAGACTTACTTATCAGGTTTTAGGTCACGGTGAACAATCCCATAATTGTGTAGGTACTCCAGTGCCAGAACAGTCTCAGCAAAATACATCCTTGCCATATCAACGGGTAGGGCACCAATGTTCTTGAGAAGTGTAGCACAATCACCTCCTAGAAACAAAACATTTGCACACATGGCACGTTGAAATGGCAAATATCAGTAAGAAACAACAGCTATGGGTCTGCAGTACAAGATTAGGCTATGTTTTCTAAAGGCTGTCTCTCACAACCCTGTTAGGAAGAATTCTGAAGATCTCTCTGTATTCTGTCTTGAACTTAAAACAAATATTAAAATCTAGGAAAATTGAGATCCATGTATGTTGGGAGGGCTTGGGACAGGAATTGTACAGATGCCATTTGCAAACTGAAGGAAGCCTTGAAGAAAATAAGTCTATGGACTCCTGACTGAAGCTTCCTTGGGAACACTGGCCACACATTTCAGTCGACCTTCATTTCTACTTCCAAAGAGGAATTAATATTAAAATTTCCTATTGTCAATACATCTGATTTCATTCCACTAATTTATCTGAAAGAGCACTGATACAATAAGTATAATCTTATTTCTCAAACATTCAGTCAAGCAAGCCAGGCATGAGAAATTAATCCTATCCACCAGTGGATATTGCTTATAATAAGATATACTGATAAAATAAAATCAAATTATATTTCAAAGAATAAGCAAACCAAACAATGAAAAAAACCAACCCCAGCATAAAATGACACTTTATTTTTAAAAAGGCTGCTAAAAAACAAAGACTTATGTTTCTTAAATCATTTTTTAAGTGGAATGTCAAGCAAATATGCCATGGATCCAGCCACACTATCCCAAAGGAGGGAGGGAAGGTTTCCTTTCCAGTGAAGACTGGGAAGTTCATGCTGACTTTTTACCTCACCAGTGAGGCTCAGCTCACTGCAAACATGTTGCATCAGTCCCAGGGATTCACAGGCCCCTTTGGAGACGTGGATACCAGCAAACATACCTTCCACATACTCCATAACCATGCACAGGTGCCGCTTGGTCTCAAAGGAGCAGAACATGCTGACCACGAAGGGGTTCTCAGCAAATGTCAGGATATCTCTCTCCACAAAGGCCTGCTGGATCTGGTTCCTCAGGATCAGGTTCTGCTTGTTGATCTTCTTCATGGCAAAACGCTGGCGGGTGGTCTTGTGCCGCACCAAATACACCGCTCTGCAAAACCACACCGAGAGGAAAAGGTCCATTTTCAGTCCAAACTGCTTTGTTGTGGGTTTAGGTTTGGAGTTCTTTGTGGTTTTGTTGGAGTTTTTTAAACAGTGATGTTACTGTTTTGAATGGATCCTGACAGACTTATCCATGACTCCAGAAAATCCTGTTTCAGTGGCAAGCTTCCCTAGAAAAGAAGGAGCCCCATGATGCTTCCTTCCCAAAGCTACTCTGCCTTCCTGAATAAAGCAGCATTTTTGCTGATGTGACAAACAAGGAGATACCTCAAACACCAATGTCACAAATTTCCATAAGCACCATTGCAGAGCAGCATGTATTTTTCAACACTACAGTGACCACTTGGCTTAAAAAATTGTCCAAAATCTATGGAATCAGCAGGAGTTCTTTCCAAGCCCCATAAAATTAATTTGACACAGCACTGTGACCAGGGATTTCCTTCAGTAAAGTATCTCTTACACTTCTATCATTTGCAGATCATTAGATTCCTTCACATTAATAATACAGTTTGCAAATAAAATTGTCATCCAGTCTGCCTGCCTTATTGAATCAGTACTTGTTTCCTTTTCTCTGGAGTACATTACATTTAACGTGGTATTGTGTCTCATCAGCCACTGACTATAAAATAAACCCAGGATAAAGACATGTAACTAACAGCAAAACCACCACTTCTCTCTCCCCTTTTTAGAAAGTTACATGGGGCTTGTGCAGAAATATGACTGAAGAGATTTAAAATCTTTTTGTCTCATAACGACTCTTCAACATGCTCCATTGTGTCTTCATTCACTAAAAACCCATGCTTACATTTTTTCCACATATAATTTCTAAAAAGTGATTTGTTGTTAACTAAGCATCCATTTCCACAAAACACTCAAGCACATGCTCAGGTTTTGTTGTTATGACCTACTGAGTATCACTGCTTTTCAGTAACAGCCTAATGACCTCACTGGTAAGGATTTATGAACTGCAAAGAGTTAGGAACAGCCTTTTAGAATTCTGGATAGGTTTGTGTATGTGGTTAAAATTGTAACTGACTGAATTCATACTTGATTCTTCAATGGATAATAAAATCTAATAGCCTTTCTCGTGTACTGCTCCTCACAGTAGATTTACCCCAGTGTAACTCTAGCACTTCTTTTAGCATTTCAAGGGCTCACGAACAGCCACATATGTTACATATATAATCTGAATAAATGAAAAAATGGCATCTCCCAGAAGAATGCAGAAGATACAATAACTGTGGAACGTTTGTAAGACCCAAGTGAAATTACTTTATGCTTTGGACCCAACAAAACCCAGACATTTGCCAGACCTTGCTATAGCCCTTTTCTGGGGACAATAATAGCGTTTTCTTCTAATTGAAAGTCTAAAAGTCTTACCCATAAGCACCATTACTGATCAGTTTAATAGTTTCAAACTCTTCTTCAGACGGAGTTTTCTTTGACTGGACGGAGGCCCCACGGCTCTGGGGAAAGACAACAAGAAAATTAAAATCAGGGGCAGGAATGACAATTCTACATGGGGGTTTTTTTTGTCCTTTTCTTCTTTATGGACCCATTAACTCAAACTCAATCCATTTCTGAATTTCTGGAGTCCTCAGCTTTAGGACAGTTGTCTGTATCCATAGGGTGTTTGCAGATTCCCTCCACAAATTATTAGCACAAAAAGTCAGTGGACTGTAAGATTTAGGCCTTTCATTAATATTATATATTTTTAAAAAACAATAACATGAGGATCTTTGAAACCTAGCCAGCTACATAATTAAATTTTTCCAGTGGTTTTACTAAAGTCAACTCTTTTCAATACCCATCACATTTTACAAATGTAGATATAAAGAATTCCTCCAGACAATTTTCATTTCTAACTCCAAAAATTAAAAAAAAATCCACAAAACTTGCTAAAATGCCTATTTGCATCTTTTAAGCATTTTACCACCACCACATAAAGATTTTCACATTTTTATGAGCATGTACTCCAGTTTTAATATGAGCTTTTAAATGTCTGCACTTTTTTTTTTTAAATTACAATTACTCTGCCTTATAATTAATTCCTTACTGTAGACTACTTCTTTTGAGAGAAAAAAAAGTGCTAGACAGAGTGAGTGTATTACTGCTTTACCTCGACTGAATCATCTGTCTCGGGAGTGTCTGGGCTGTCATAGCTATTCAACTGGGCCATTTCTGAAAAGAAAGAGGAAAGATTACTCCTAATAATCTCAATCAAACACTATTCTCTTTGTTTATGCAAGAAAAACAGGATTTTAAAAGATGCTCGCAGATGATGAAGGGCATTTTCTCCCTCTGTAAAAAGTCACCCTAATTATACAGTGATAACCTTTAACATCTTGTACTCTGCAGGCAGTATTATATATAAAGATGAATATAATTAATTGTTCTAATTTCAGCCTGACTTACTCTAGATAGTTTCTATAATAAGTAAAAGCAATAAATGCATGTTTGGGGAAAGTGCTGTCTAGTTAATATTAAAACCTATTACACACATATATGTCTGCATGTAGCCTGGTGGCATCTCTGTGCTCCAAGAAGAAAAAGCATCACATTTCAAACAGCTGCCCTCCACGTGACGTGGCTGATTCTGCAAAACGCTGAGCAGCAGCAAAGTGGGGGAAAGTCACTTAGTTTGGGCTACTCAGCTGTCGCAGGAGATGCTGTAAACTCTGCAAACCCTAATCCTCCCTTAGCTTTGAGTCTCTGAACAGACATCACTGACATTTCTGGGTGCCCTCCTTACAGAAAGGAAATAAGGCACCTTGACATCTCCCCACATTTCCAAAGAAAATTTGACTTTAGTAAGGGGAATTAGCAATGGAAAGGTTCTCTCCCATGACAGGGATCAAAGGAAATTTCCCTTTAATGTCAGATTTCAACAAATGCTATTAAATTGCATTTAGCAATCTTTGGTAGAAATTTTCCCGATGAGCTCTTCACTTGAAGTCAACCTGTCAATGTCATTCCAGTAAACACCAGAGAAGTTAAACTAGTCCTAGCCAGACTACTAATTTATGTTAAAATTATGCTCTCCTGAGGTAACAAGAAGTATATTCAATCACTTAAATATTCTGCAGTAACCTCCAGTCTCTATCACACTTTCTATTGTTGCTGAACAAGCTGCGCATGCTCAGAAAACTTGTCATTTCAGCCAGCAAAGTGCCAGGCAGAGATATTAACTCACTAATTCTAAAGTTACAATCTTAAATTAATATTAAATTTACCATATGCAATTCTGGCACCTTGCAGAAAAGCTGTTTCTGTCCTTACACTGCTCTCTTTGGTTTGGCTGCTACACAAGATGTAAAACTTCAATCTCACCTCTAGCTAAAAATTCATACTCATCATGGTAATCTCATGGAAACCCACAAAAAACACACTTCTCCCTGAGAGGACAATCAAGTGGGATGACAGGATACTTTCCACGAGGCCAGGCAAATCAGAAAAATAACAGGCAAATTTACTTTTACTGTCCGATAGCACAGAGAAAACAGTTAAATCCTAAAGCCATTTTCTAACATTGTTTCAGCTATGATACAGGGAGACATTATTAACATCATAAATAAAGAACTGTCACTACTGATGTGCCATCCTTACCCCAGCAACATTCCTTTGAGACATGGGGCTGAAAAGGACAGTCTAGAATTTGACAGCAAACAGGAAAATAAGGAAAAATTACCTAGAAATTCAATCAATAAAATAAAAGAATCCTTCACCTATGTAGTGACCAGGAGATCTGACTATCCTTTCAACAGTTTGGAAAGTACACAACAAGAATCCTCACCCTCCAGGGGATCCCTGGTGAGTCCCAGCTGGCTGATAATGTAACGAGGAATGTCACATTTAATTCCTTGCCCTTCCTTGGCATGGCCTTCTGCCGCTTCCAACAAATGGTAGAACTCTTCAGGATCAAACTCCTACAGCAAAGCAGTGAGAGACACAGAGAGAGGTAAATGATACAGCTTTACAATTATGAAAGGTTTCTCCCCCTTAGAGGGGAATCCTCAGAAACATCCAAAGGTAATTCCGGGCTCAGCAGTGATGCAGAACATTTCCAGTCACAACAAGCAAGGCAAAGCTTCCCACTCTGCTCTGCAAAACCAACAGACAGTTACATCCCACGGGGTGTCCATGGGTTTAGATCTGCAAATCAAAACAGAACAAAGACTGTAGGGACTTTCTACAAACCAAACCCAAATTTTCAAAAGGTCCTCTTCACATAAGTGCCAAGTGTGGACACAACTCCCAGTTTTGTCACATTGAGATGTGCCAGGGAAAGGTCTGTGATGAGAACTGAGGCACCACCTCCTGCCACCTCCATCTGACAGGTGAGTTAACCCAAGATAAGCCTTTCCTGCTGTCAGTTGTCACTTCTGATCAAACCATACACCCACCCAATCCTGCCACTGTCCTAACCTCAGCAATGGCTAATAAAATTATTAATAAAACAATTTTCTTCATAAGAAGTACTGCTGCCCTATTTCTTGTCGTCTACAGTACAGGATCACTTTAGCAACTCAGTCGTGGTGCATGTGATCTCTCAGGCCAGAAAAGGTTATAGAAGGTGTGATCTCTTGCACTGGACTAAGAGATATAGTAGGAAACAAAAGACAAGCTTTGGGCAGCAGGAGCACTCTGCTTAGGAACAAGTTCACCAGTTAACTTTAGCTCTCCCCACTACAAACCTCATCATTCACCAGCAATGAGCAGCTTCGCCAACTCTTCAAAAATTCTCCAGTGAAATGGGAGGGTGAAAGGGGAAGAGTTTCAGCAAACAGCTGAGCATGCACAGACAACAGTGAGGACATCAGTAAAGAACTGCTGTGTGGTCAGCAACGTAAGAGAAAAAGAGCACAGAACTGCAAACAAGAAAAGGAAATTAGAGCTTGTAAGGATGTGAAGAGACCTGAACAGAGAACAGACACACTTTTCCATGACTGCTCCAAGCAATGCTGCTTGGTTAGATGCTGTCACCAGAGACAGCAACAATGTGAGAAACAAGGTTCCTTCCCAACTCTTCTGGAAAAGGATTAATCAACAGCCTCAGAAGTGGCAGAGAGCAGGAGCCAGACCACAGAGGACAGAGAGAGATGGTCACCAGAGTGCAGTGAGAGGGATGGTGGAGCTGAGGAAGGACTTCTTGAGGTACAACTGCAGGTCATTCATTGGAGAGTAAAGGAGAGAGGGAAAAACCAACTTGGTGACAAAAAAAAACAAACATACAAAACATTAAGGAACTATATAAATTCCAGTTCTGACTTCTTTATGGTAGGTTTAATCATTTGAATACAGGAGAATGAACCCTACTGAGGGGAGGTGGGTGCTATGGAAAAAAAAAAAAATAGATACTTTTTTCCAAAGATGGTTTCAGAGATGCAAAAACCACACTATCATTTTCTTGAAGCCTCAGAGACTGTCTGCCAATAAACACTTCACAGTCCAACAGGTAATGCAAAGACAGAAGCCAAATGGCCGAACTTTGGAATACACTACATGTTTTTGACTGCATTAAAACAATCACAATCATCACAAGCACTGTCTGTATGGACACTTACTTCATTTACAAGGAAGAAAGAAAAATGAGCTGTGTTACTGAAGTTAACCTTAATACTAAATAGTAGAAAAACTTTTTATAAATTCACATATAATTGAAGCCAAAGATTGAATTACAAAAAAAAAAAAATATATGCTAAAGATAAAAATGAAAATTAGTTCTCAAAAACTATTTAAATAGTTGACTATCCATTACTATATTTCTTGTTTTATGGGACAAAAGGAACGTTAGTATTTAGTTCATGTCACCAGATTAAAATAAGTATTTGGGAAAAAAATTCTAGAAAGGCAATGCAGGTTGAAAAAAACAGGTAAGATTAATCCACAGATCTAGATATTATTTCTATACTTTGGAGTCTGGCCACTTGATTGTCAAGGTTGTCACTACATACTTTGGAATTCATTACTCAAATCTCAATGACTTCGCTGCTGCCACCTGCTCCCACTCACTTTGCACAACATCAGATGGAGAAGACATCGAGGAACCTGGAGACCTCTTGATTTGCAACTAAGAGCTGCCTTGAGTTTGGAACTCTGCAGGTACAGACACAGGTTCACAAGGCTTTCTGAGGTTCCAAGTTTTCCTAGATGAGGAGTGTACACAAGCAAAAAGGATAATGGTGAATGCAGCAACTACAAACACGGTGAGTTTAAATTTATCTCCTTTCTCCATTGCCTTCACTTCCAAAATAAATTTTGAAGAAGTGCTGGAAGATAAGTGGGAGTCACAAAAACTCATCTAAATCACAAACATGGTTTGAAAACGAAGGAATTCCGAGTTTGAATGGAGTTGTGCCTGGGATTTCCAGTGCAGTCTGGTGAAGATTTCTTGAATCAGTAAGAGAAGGTATCTGTCCTGCTGGTTGTGCAGCCAGCTTCCATATAGTGGCCTTCCTTGCACTGCAGGATTCCCAGCAAAGTGATCCATCTGACAGCTGTGGAGGAGGAATAAGGAACCCTCCAAAGTCCACTGGTTCTCAGAACTTCTGCAGGTGTTTCCAAAAATTGGTATCAAAGACTGGACCACTCTTGTCTACTTTGTCAAAGAAAGCTCCACAAAAGTCATTCAACTTCCAGTGACTCCAGGGATAAAAGTCACTCATGGACACACTGACCACAAGACAATCAACATATTAACTGTGCTTTTACAGCCAGCCACAGATCCCTAATCCAGCCAACTTCTCTGATGTCTCAAACACCTGTAGCATCTCTGTCACTTCTATGTCCAGAAAGAACCACCACGAGTGTGCTCCGACACACCAGGGAATTTCATCCTGTCATTACCTAAGTTTCCACTGTAGGTTTGTGACACCTCACAATTTCTGGTGACTTCCCTACATTCTCATTAATTTTTCAACATCCTTTTGACATACAGCCACTGAATTGAACCCTTCCAATTGGGTACACAACTTTTTATATATATTGAAGGTTTGTATTAACCCTGCTGCTATGGCATGAAGTGAGAATACAGGTTTTCAAGCTGCTTCTCCACCATACCAAGGAAATATTTTTGTAGTTGCAGAACTTTGGGACACAGCAGCCTATTTTGGAATTGCCTAAACAATTTTCAGCATTTTCTAGCACTAAACAAAAAAAAAGCATTATCATTAGCCAAATTAAAAAATAGACATATTTCCTGTTAGAAAGGAGTGAGACTTGCTTTTGCTTGTATTCCTATAACACCAAATAGGATTTCAAACCCAGGCTCCCAAATCTCCTTGGATCTCACACAGGTGTATCCCACTGTGTGTTCACAGATGGAAAACCTGACACCAGGTCTCACCAGTTGCTGGGTCTACAGGAAGGGTTTGAGTCCCAAAGCCCAAAAACCATTTATGTCATGGAACTTCTTCCTTAGTGACAGCTCTTCCTTAGCACAGCACCCTGGACACCAGGCACACCCCATACAGACATTTACAGGCTCCTTACAGTAGCTATTAACAACATGTGGAACATCCAGTGGCATCAAGTAGCACGGAATGATGTTGACAGCTACATCTGGCCCCTCAGCCATAAACTCTATACTAAAACATAATTTAGCTGCTGATGCAGCTGACAGTCCATTGGAGAACTACTTCTATATTCATGCACAAAGCCACTTAGTACTTCTTTTTCTTTTTAAATATCAATTTATTTTTCATCAGTGTTCTAATGAGCATGTAAAGGTCTCTTTGAAGGCTTTGTGTCCCTTATCTCCTCAAGTGCACAGCACTCTGCAGAGCCTCTGCCAGGGCACACTCACCAGGCACTCGAGCAGCCGCGCTGGCCGCGCGATGATGATCATCAGCTTCTTCACCAGCTGGGTAACGAAGGCAACCTCGGAGCTCTCGGATCGCTCGTGGGCCTGTGGGAGCACAGCAGCACGTCAGGGTCCCAGCACTGAACTCTGCATTTCTCTGTCACATGCTGAATGCCATCACCAGCTCAGTAACCAATCCAGCAGCAAAGGCACGGCTGAGTCAGGGCAGGCTGAGCTCAGCTTGCTCAGGGACGCCAAGGTACACATGGCTTTTCCATCACATCTGACTCACATTATCATGCAAGAGATATTTCAAAGGCTCTACTTGCATTATATCACCTATCAATTATAATAGATACAATGTGGGCTCAGTTTATTTTTTAAAATGAAAAGAGGAATATTGATTTTTTCAATTTTACCTTCCACACAACACTGACATCTAGGTAATCACTAACAGACACATTTCTGAGCTTTATTTTCAGCTAGAATTTGAACTAGAATTTCTCTTCATCATCTAGAAAGACTCAATCTCAGTTTGTCCTTTTTCAGTTTTATCAGTCCTGTCGAATAACTCCAGCATTGCATTGTATGTTATGTAGCACCAAGCAGATAAGCAAAGAAAAGAGCATATAAAAACTTAATTCAGAGGATTTAGTCCAGTCTGTTATTCCACCAGACTTCAGTATAAATTCAAATCTTAGTTTCAAGATGTATGTGTGTATTTGTGTGATGGGATGTCTTTTTACAACAGCAAACACACCAAAAAAAAAAAAATTAAAAAAAAAAAAAGAGCAACACAAAAAAAACCCTCAGAAATTACCCTTCTCTGGATGAAGCACACAATGGCTACGTGATGAGTTCTGAAGCAGAAATATAATAGTATTTCATAGCAGAGTGATTAAAAAAATGGCAATGCAAAAACTCTTAAACAAAGTACAGCTATTTTTCCCCAAGGTCTAAAAATTGTGCTTTAACACAGCCACAGATATAGAGCTCAGAACTTAATAAATGAGCTTTTGCTGGCAATGAGCCAGTTACTTATAAGAGTGATATTTTATCAACAACAGTGCAAGCAGCAATAAACTAAGAGGTTCATTTAGTGTTGTCCATTAGAATCACCTAAGAAGAATACATATATTTATATGTCTTTATATGTTTGAGAAGCCAAATCGCACTGATGACCACCTAAAAGAGCAATACAAACACAGGGAGCAGAAATTCAGAACTAGAGCATCTTACATAACATATCTCTGATACTTTGCTGCCAAACAAAAAATATTAAGAGGTTCATTATTTTTCATTTTGACACCAGTCAGAATAGAAATGTTGACTGTGTCCTTCTGCACTGGTTAGCATTGGCTAGAATTTTAACCTTGAAGAGAATGATGTACCTGCTAGTCCATTATCTAAAAACAACATCAGAGGTCCTTCCTGGCTATAGAGCCTTAAACAGAAGATTATTTTAGAAATACTGAAATAAGCTGTGATTTATTTTCCTAATTAAAAAATTTTTAAATTATGAAATAGAAAATAATCACAATGAAAATGATAGTCACTTTGTGTCACTAATGCATTATTCAAACTTACAAGTTACAATATGAATTTTAGAAAGAAATGAATGCTTTCATATTTTAAAAGCCATTCCAGATCACCAGAAGTTAGCTGCACTGAAATGAATAGATAAAACATCAACAACTTTGTATTATTTTAAATTTGAGCCATGCAATTGGAAAGTCCTTTTCTCCCCCCCCACATAGGTTATATTATACAAAAATATAATATAATAGATATAATTCATCATTTTGCATCCATTTGTACTGTTAAAGAGAACTTAGTCTTTTAAATCAAGCCCTTTTGTTTTCTCCTATTCTCATCTCTGACAATCCAGGCAAAACAATTTAAAAATGCAGCTAGTTTAATCAGGTGTCTGTTTTGGAAATGAAAAGCTAGACCATGACTGCCAAATGATACAGAAAAGCAAAAGGAGAAAGCAAAGAAGCATTTACAAAAACCAAACACAACTTGTAACAGCCACTCAGCCATCATCTCTGCACAGCGCTGCTCCTCCAAGATCCTCAGGGAAACTGCCTCCTCCTCTTTCCTGCTCCCACAGGACAGCCTGGACATCCCGACAGACTCTTTGTCCCCAGTGTCCCACGGACAGAGCCCAGGAGCAGGAGGTTTGTCCAGCCAAGCACCACCTGCCGCTCCCATGAGCCAGGTGCCAGCTGTGCCAGCTCAGCAGCGCGTCCCCAGGACCGTGTGCCAGCCTCCGGGCTGCCGGTGGCATCTCAGGGCTCCCCTCCCGTCCCCAGGAGGGCTTTGGGCAGAGGTTGATGCCATTCCTGCACACACTGCTGGTGACACGTGCTCAGGAGGTAAAGATGGGTAATTTACAAACCGATTCCCTCATCTGAAAGACCCATCCGTCACTAACTGTGGCTGCTGGGGCATGAAATTAAAATCACTGTCCTCCCCTGGGCTTCAGCAGGACCAATAACTGGGATATGCAAGTCACAACGCTGTAATTGAGCTAATATACTGATGGAAACCAAAACAATAGACCTGCAAAGCCAAGGACTGATAAATTTGCACTCGGGCTCCTACTAAGAAAGCAACCCCAGCCAGAATATCCATTTGCCAATACACAGCATCAGTCACTGCTGTAGAACACTCATACCCTCCCCTGCTCCTTTTGTTCCATCCACACCTGTAATCCTTCACCTTCCTGCCCAACTGGCTACACCTAGGCTACTTCTATCTTATTGATTCAGCCAAGGAATAACTGCCTATATACAACCTTTTGGTCTTCAGTAACCTGAGATTCTAACCCATGGTAACAGGTAAAGAACTGAATGTCACATTTCTTTTTTAGATCAGTGCTTTATCTTATTTTTTTGGTATTTCTACTTTGATGTGAAATGTAGCATTCAAGTTCATGTTTTCCAAAATGAAGAAAATCTCTTAAATTCATTTTTAGTTCATGATTATTTCAATGATGTGATAAGTTCTTCTGGCTAAAAGACAGTATTTCATGCTCCAAACAAGGGAAAAGATCTCATTTGCTATAGCTAAAGAGATTTGTTGGCATGTTATTACAAAAGCCAAGATCTAAAAATCTTCCAAAAGCTTTCTGGTTTGGTGCATTTAAACAGCTCATTAGCTCATTATTTGCATACCCAAACAGTCTGTTTTACATTTTTACTCAAACTACAATATATTAAATCAAGTTTCCATTTTATAGTTTGAAATGCTGTGCAAATTTAGTTCGTTACCAGGTATCAGAATCTACACAATAAAAAGGAATTTTTAAGAGAGAGAATCCATTCTTTCACAGTAAAATTTTAAGAAAATCTGTGGATATTTCTGCCACTTGCTGGCCTCATTATTCACCAATAAAGCATCTTTCCATTCTTTCAGTATGTTATAAAAATATACCATAAAACTCCATAGCCTGCTACACAGATCATACAACTCCCAAGTTGAACAGCTCTTTGAATTACCTTCTAATTGGTACTCTTTATGTACCTATTATTTATGATACTTTACAACCTAAACAAAGGTTACGATCCTGACATCACATTTGGAATAGTTTAAACTTGACTCAAAAACGTCCTGTGCTTCAGGTGAGTCCACCCAAAGAAAGAATATCACCAATTTCTATACATTTTGACTAAAATGTTCCAATTATTTCCTTGCAGAATGCAGTCTGAAGGGCAAAGCACACACTAGGCAACTAGTGGAAACAAGTGGTTCTTAAATATTAAAATCAAAAAGATAAGCTAAGGAACAGAAAAATCCATAGGACAGGAAAAAAGAACAAATGAGAAAGATGTGGAATGAAGCCTTTGGCTTTTTTCCAATGTCTTTAATGTCTTTGTTCTCTTCCTTCCCAGCCTGTTCTGTCCCTCTTGCCTCTCTAAACTTTAATAACCTCTAGCCCACCTTACTTCCCAGAGTAAATCAATCAAACTGAAGAGCTGACCCCTCTCTTGCCCCCGCTCTGCAGGAGACATTAAGGAGGAAGAGGGCAAAGAAAGCCCCAAATATCGATTCCTGAACAAGCTCAGAGATGACCATTGCATCTCCTCTAATCACAGTTCAATGACACCTGTCCCAGTATTTCAGAGCAGCAGGATAATGCCTGTAGGATCAAGGGGGAAGGGACATTTAAGAAGTGTATTTTGAGGATTTGTTCTGAGGGAAAGGGGAGAAAAGGAAAAAGCTGATTTATCTGACCCACACCTCCTCCAAGACCCTGATTAACCTCTTCAGGCCAGAAGACAAGACTGAAAATGCAGACTGGAAGTGGCCAGCCCTAATTTATGGCTCTCTCAGTTCCTTATGGTGTAAGAAATCATTGTCCACACACAGGAGGGGAGTCAGGGAGAGGGAGAATTTCAGGCTCTGAGGATCTGCTACCAGAAGCAGTAAAACACAGTGTAGTCCCCCTGTGCCCCTGAAATGTAAGGGATTTTGCTGAGCATACAAAGTCACTTCTAATGAAACTTTTCCAACTTCCAAACCATCACCAAACAGGCCTGATCCCTTATTTCACAGCTGACATGTGCAAATACTCTGCTTCCAGACTCTGGATCCACAAGTGGTTACTGATATCCTATAGGCAGACAATCATATAGCCCCTCAAAAGATATTCCCTACCTCTCTTGGTATGTCAGAATTATATTCCCCATCCAAGCAGAACACCACAGATCCAAACATGACTCATATTTCTCTCAAGCATAACAAATACCAGAAAAATTACAGCCACACTTATATAAATGGGGCAGCCAAAAAATTTAGCTGATACAAGGGAAGTTTCTACAGATTTCACAAAGCTTTTTAATACAACAAATGTATATTAATATAGTATTTTTACTCATTTGTCTTTTTCTAATGTCTGAAAAGAGTGGCAAAGTGACAATCTAGTGCAACTCATGCCAGTGGGTTGGCAAACTGATCAATAAAGATAAAATAAAATTAAAATCATAGCAGAGAACAAAGTATTTTAGATGTTCTGTTTCCAGGTGTCTCTGTGATATTTGCTATCTGAGAATGCAATATTTATAAAATCAGTTTTTTCAGCTTGCTGCTGTATCATTAAAACAGAGGATTAAGAAGATATTCCTAAACAGAGGTCTGGGCTCAGCAATTGGCACTAGCACAGACTCTTCACAACAGTTATGGCATAAATTCTAAGAGATGTTTGAAATTTAATTTTGTTTTCATTTTGAAGGGAAAGAGCAATTTTTAATGAGTAGCTGAAGCATACTGAGAACGCATTAAAATTACGCCCCCTTGTGTATTTTCATATGCTTTGAATGCCACAAAACACATCCAAGTACTAAAAACCTACAACTGGATTACATTCAGCTCAAGAAAATCTTTTGTGAAAAATCCCCTGTAACACTAATAGTAACACTAATAACTATGGTGTCTTCACTCCATAGTTTTCACTCCTTCACTTGAAAGCAATATTGTAATTAATAAGTCGTTCAGAATCCTGAAGTTCATGAGAAAAGATTTCAGTAATTTTGTTCAACTGAATAAAGCCAATTTTCATAAATGGTAAAGACTGCCTTTGACTTACTCATATTCACATTTAATTTCTGTACAAACAAAGTTCACAGCTGAAGTGATTTACTCAAATCCACCCACAGTAGATCCTGTTCCAGAAGACTGGAACATCTCAGATCTCCTACCCCTCCCCTGGAATCCACACTGTCTCCCTAAAATCAAAGCTCTGGCTTATTGGTTAAAGTTTCAATCAAAATAATATATTCTACTTTCCAGAGGGCACTTACATCCTGGAGAAGTTTCTCTAAGTTTTCCTGCAGCTCATAAAAGTACCGAGAAGTAATAAGACCTTCACGTGATTTATCTAGGCAATCCCTGGCCAGTTCAATAACTTGATGATGAATGAAACTTAGGACCCCATCCGCTAATTGCAGCACATTCTCAGGAGCATTCGAGGCAATAAACTCAGCCAGCCGTTCTTCCATCTGTGCCGTGGCCTGAAAGTGCAGAATAAAGAGAAATTACTCCTGAATTTTACTAACACAGACCTTAAAGCATAAACAAATAGGGTGCTAAAGTAACATTTGCAATACCAAATTGCACGAGGCTTAAAAAATATTCCAAAATACAGTAGCGTTTCCTGAGAATCAAGAGAGCACATCAGAGGCAAAAGTTATGTTCACATGAGCAAACAACAAAAATTAATCAAAACATGCTTTCTGAAAATGTAAATGACCATAAAAATATCTTGGTCCTGAGGCTGTATTCCTCCCTAGGTCTCCAAAGTAAGGATGTAAGATGTGAGGCAGTTTTCAGAACTTTTAGAAAAGACTGTGGAAGCTGAAAATCATTGCCCCAAGCAAGAAACACGCAGCGTTTCTATCACTCTAAGCCCTGATATCCTGTCTCTAGAGAAACATCTATTTTTGCTGGTGGTGGAACAGGAAGGAATGGCCATATTGACAGCTGTGGGATACACAATCTTCTACACTCATTTCAATGAGATTTTAACTTTTAACTTGCTTCCACAGGTTTCATTATTCAGCTTTTTAAAAAGCCAAGGCATGGCCCTTCTCACTCTTGTGAGAATTTCCTGTGCCAATGGAAGCCATCAGAAACTTAGCAAATATGAAATACATACAAAAAACAAATTCAGCCTTTTCCATCCTATTATCTACATATACTAAATCTATTTCTTCTACTGCAGAATTAAGATATGAAGATAAGGAGGCAGCTTCAAACTCTCAGCAAACTTTACTGCTTGGAAATGGGATGTAAGAGCTGGACTCCTTCTCCAACCAGCACTATAAACTAATTCTGAGCTTGGACACAAGTTCATTGAATGCATTATTCAAAAAGGGATTCTTTACCTTTGGAAACCTTTCTTTGTACACATGATTCATCATTATTATTTCACTGTCAAAGGAAACTGGAGAGCGACCAGGGCTGGAGGAGAAAAGAAATCATGTTATCATTTACAGATATCACACCAAAACTTTTCAAAACCCAGTGCTGATCAGAATGCTGCCACATTGACTGTAGCCCTTCCAAAGCTTTGAGTTCACTTCAGTACTGTGCAGATGCTGGACCTCAGAGAAGATCCTGGCCAGCAGTGGCAGTCTGCAGCCTCCTGGAGGCTGCTGACATCCCTGTCCCCACACAGGCTCTGGCAGCAACCCCCCTATTTCATTTCCAGTGAATGCAAACCCTAACACAGAAGCTTATAAAACCCCAGTGCATTTATTGCAGATATATTTGCTATTCCCCCCATTCTGTGACTGCCCTCCATGGCAGCAGGAGCAGCCCTACTCCAAAAGAAATCACAGTGAGCTCTGGAGTCTCCGGTGCCAGAAGGGAGCAGGGCAATAGGAGGTAAGGAAGCTGAGATTATTTGTTTTTCTTTGTCTGAAGGATACTGCATGAACACTGTTATTCAGCTAAATCTTACATGTAAAGTAAATACCACAGGCAACAGGGACAGAGTACTTTTATGAAAGCTGCACTCCCTTGATGCACATTACACCAATGATCCATGTGCATCCATGCACAGGGTAGCAAGAAACTTTAAGGCATGCCAAAAAAAAACAGGACAGTAAATCTTGACGAGCTGCATTTATGTCACTGTTTGGTTGGGTTTTTTAAAGGAGGGTTGCATGTCGTTTCATCACATCTGATGGTATGCAGGGCTCTGACTCACTCTGCCACCAAGGACAGGCGGATGAGGTAATGCAGATAATCCCCAGCTACAGATCGCCTGCAGCAGCTCATTGCTCCAGCTACCTTGTTCAATGTTCAAGACAAACAAGGGCTTCGATTATTTGGCATCTTAAGTGATCACTGTCTTCATGATTTTCAGAGTACTAAATACTCATAAAAATACTCTATGTCAAAAGATACAATTTTATCTTGACTGCCTTCAAACATTTCAAATTCTCAAGTGAAGGATGAAATCGATCTCTCTAAATGGAATAAATGCATCTTAAACTTGGAATGCATTGCAGTTACTGCCTTCCTGCTAACCTATTTAGAGCAAAAAAGATTCTTTTGGCAACATATATTAACAGTTCAAAGAAAATTTAACTCATTGGGTCACAGAATATAGCAGTACCAAACTCTTTTCATGCCTTGTACTGAAATCCCATGAATTACATCATGTCTTGTTTTTATTACTGCTCATCCTTTAGCTTGAGAAAATGCACTTCAGATTAAATCTGTCACTGAATCTTTATGCTGAAGAAGAAAGCTGATTTGGATGTTATGAATAGCAAGTAAAAAGACATTTTCATCAACTTCCCTTAGCTTGGTAGATAGCTATTTTTAATCAAGAAGAATTTTCTTTAAAAAGAAACTTACATTTCTCTCCATATGTAATGTATGACATAATTAAACATTCGGGTAAAAACATTTAAATTGCAGAGTTATAAGCAAATTCCCCTGCACATTTAGCCTACTATCCTTATCCTTTTTTCTGTCAAGATCAAACATGCTGACACAAGCACCATATTTGTTTACTGGTACTTCATATGGAGCTGGAGGACTTGGTGAACACAGTTATTGAAGAATTTATTTTTTTCTGATGTAATTTTTCTCTGTGTGATCTAAGTCAGGTATAAATTACAAGTATATATAAGCCCTTTGATACTTACACAGAAATACTGAGGCACACACATACTTCACTTTCACACTAAAATTTGTACATGCTTAAGTATTTGCTGTCTTAAAGCTACAATAAAACATGAGGGATTTTGCCTTTTGCTTTCAAGGCACTTTATTCGTATGAATACAGGAAATTAAGGGCTCTGCAGAAATCAGGCTACTTGAGCTGTCCTGCCAGCAGATGTAGCATTTCCTTAGGGAGAACCACGATGGGAGAATTTACTGTGCTTGCTTTTGTTTACGAAACAATTTCTGTGCACACCAATTGGCAAGAAAGTGCTTCCTTGGGCATTCGCAGTTTTGTCTCACACCTTCTACCACTTTCTACCAACCAAAACAACACAGTACCCAAAAATCTCTGGATAAAACTTTGGATCAAGGGCCACATTGTCATCCAAAATAAAATTTGCTCAATATACCAGGTCAAATTAAATGTCTAGCTGACTATAGCAAGACTGCAACATAATATACTGCACCATAATTTTTAATGTTGATCCTCAGTTTGGGAAACTAAGGATCTAATTAGCTGGATACCTGACTAACTAAACCAAAGGCTGCCTGCCAAGCACTGCCAGTTCTTTACAGCAGCTCTAGGACACAACCAGGTGAAAAAGGAACAAGGACTGGACAGATAACTGAATGCCACCAAGGGAGAACATAAGGAAATTTAGAAATAAGATAAAAGGAGTTTAATACATTTTACTGGCATGACATCTTTTCAAATGCAAAAGCTTCACACATCTACCCAGCACCAAAAATTTCACAGGCAGAACTAAACCGGTCTAACATTTCAAGCCTCACAAAAGAACAGATTATTTTCTGCAAAACAGAGGACACATGCTGTGCACGTGCATAACATTTTAAGACAAAAGGCAGGCTCCTTCCCTCTTCTTGGTGCAGATAGGTAGGTCAAAGAAATTATTATTGTCAGTGAGATTTTCATTTCAGCAGAGCAGACATTAGAAGAATAATATCTGTCCCCTTAAGCTTAAGAGCAGAATGAAAAACTACTCTCTCTTTTTCCCCCTCCTTCACGCTTCCTCCACTTCATGATAAAATGTGGAGGTGGATTTTCAGGGATATCTATCTCCCACAAAGATTTCTGTTGCCTTCAACCTGTCAAAACTCATGTCTCCTTATCTGATGCTTCAAAGTGAAAATAGCTCACAGAGAGCTATTTTGAGGAGCAACATTTACGCAAGAACTTAAATCTCACAAAATTTAGTTTAAGGATGACTAAATAAAACCGAGATGTTTATGAATAGGTAATTTTTCCTTCACCATGATAGCTGTACTTATTAGAAAAAAGCAAAAAAGCTAAAAGTACTGTGTTTCCCTCTGCTTTCACCCTGTATACAAAGGTTTAATTAGTTTGTATTTACTGAACATGAACAAAGTCAGTTCTCATGGGAAACTCAGAACTATAGGCTTTAATTTTCTGTCATTTCCAGACACACAAAATAAGGAATTTGAAAACTAGAGAGCTAAAGTTGGATAAAGCAGGCACTAAGATATGCCTTCTGCTGAAGGTGAGCCTTCCTTTTCTCCCAAGAAATAAATATGAAAGTTACATTAATACTAGAAGTCAGAAAACTCCCCCAGCAGCAGGGGCTGCAACTTCTGTTTTCCAATATTTCAGGGGTTTTATGCATGCCAGCAAACACTGAGACTGCTTTAGAATGAAAGCAGAAAGCTGGAGTAATGAGCAGTGCAAAGAACAAATAAGGATACACAGTTTTCTTCATAACAGAAAACCACAAAAAAGGTGAGTGAACCCAAAAGTTAATAAATATAAAACTGATCACTTTGAAGAACCTTTTCAAGTCAAGTTCACAGGACACAGTGTCTTGAGAGAGGAAAAAAAGAGACCAACATTATCTGTAATGCAGTTTGAATGTGTTTTGAGAAGGAACAGATGCCTTGTGCTGTAGAATATAAAACTATTATCCTTTTCCAAATCCATAGGGATGTGAATCCCTCCTCCACAGCTTGTGGTGGACGACACTGTCTGAGAGCAGCGTGAAGGGATGAACCCAGCACGATTACTCAAGTGGTTAAAGCTGCCTCAGAAGTGCACTGAGATGAGAGAGCCCCACAGCCTGCAGGATGAAAGATAAAAATGGACTGTGTGGGCCACTGGTTTTCACAACACCTATTGCTTCTTGGCCATTTTATCATCAGGAGTCTTTTTTTGTATTTTCCAGTTGTTTTGTCTGTGTATTCTTAACGGCAGGATCCACAGTGCTAAAAGTCAGGCTGGGGGATTGCATTTAAAAAGCACTACCCAGCAAAGAGATGAAGAAGGATGATCTCATCTACTTCAACTATATAAAAATTCACTGCAACAATCTTCAGCCCTTTTTACCTAGACAACATTATCCTGAAATACAAAAAGAGATCAAGAAAAATGGGCAGATTGGTGGGCTGAGTGACTGCACAAAGGCAGCTCCTGAAAAAGTCGCTATTAGTTAACTCTACTTTTATCTCTGACATTCTCCACACATTCCCACATGTGAGCAACTGCTAAAGATGACAAGTAAAGAGAACTGGGAAAAGATGGAAGGCAGCATCTCTTTAACTTAAAAAGAGTAATGATGCCAAGTTTAGTGCAAGTATTCACAACTTTTCATGTATTTTACTCCAGGGAGAAAAAATCTTGTTCAGGTGAAGCCCAGGATTAATCTAAACAAAACAAATGTAGCCTGGGGATCTCCCTGTTGGTCAATAGCTGGAAGGATTTGAAGGTTGCATTATAAGGAAAAAAAAAAAGAAAAAGAAAAAAAGAAGAGAACAGTTGAGAGATGATATTTAGGAACTACTTCTGCAGGTAATAAAGAAGTATCTTCTTCTACTGAAGACACACTACAAGCACCAAAACAGGTGGGTCACGTGGAAATATGTTCTTTGGCTGAGCACGTGAGTACTGGATCTTTTTGAGACAGATGAGAGAACAGGCTTCTGGATTTTGCAAGCAGCTTTATAAGGATGTCACATCTTTGCATTCCAGGGCTGCTCTTGTGTTCCCTCCTTCCCCCTGCACAGGAAAGCAGCTGGGAAAGAACCAGTGCCACTTCTTCCGGGCAGAAATTTCAGGCATTTCAAATAATGCAGGATTAAATAAAAGATGAGTATCTCCAAGGCACATTACTGGCAGAACACCTCAAGCAAAGCAGAGGTGCTACCAACCTGTCAGTGCACCCTCCATGACTGCACACTTTGTTAGTTTTATCATCCAGTTTGATCATTAAGAGTGCTCTGTATGCATAGAACATTTGCAGATAGGTACAAGAAAATGGTACATTTCTAGACAAAAAAAGTAAGCATATTTTTCCAAAAGTTACATCTAGGCAATATTCTATACCTAGGAGCATAAAAGGATCATCTGACAATTCTAAGAAAAGTATCTTGGATTACAGAAACAAAAAAACAATCTCAGCATTTGGCAGTGACATCTCAAAATGCCACTTCCTCTCTCAAAAACAGATGTAAGGCTGCAGTCATATAGGATGGAAAATGAATACACATTAACAATGGCACCATCTTTTAAATTATAAAGCCATGGCTGCCAATTAAGGGAAATGTCTGATGCATTTTGTTCATCTGCTTTTCATTAAAGCTGATCAAACAAGACCACTGAATGAAAAAAAAAAACATTTTTAGGAAATTACTGCTTAATTGAATTCAATGTTGAAAAACAAAAGCTGTTCTCAGCTTTTATTTTTTAAGTAAGTGAAAATGTCTTCTCACCAAGTGAGGTAACTCTAAAGGGGCAAATAAACAAGCTTTGTGCAGTGAACAATGTCTGGTCTTCATGTGTTTCAGCATTTGTTTACAAGCACAGGCTGCCCTCAGTCAAAGAGGGTTTTTGCTCCTTCAACCATTGCTGCAGCTGGTTGGATTGACCTATCCATTTTCCTTGGAGGTGCAAGGACCAGCATGAATGCCTGATAGTGGCAAGGGTGCTTTAGAGTCACATAGCATCACAGTACTGGCAATAAGCAAAATGAAAACCAAATGAGGCACAGTGAGTTGAAAAAATTAAATTACTTCATTCTAAGCTTTGGAATACCAATAAGGCTCGACATTTTCACACCAAAAATCAGTGAGAGAGCCAGAAAAGGTATTCAAGAGAAGAAGAAGATTAATCAGTTATATCACACACTGAATTAATCTCATCCCACCACAAATTATAAACCTACTCCATGATCAGTCTGCTTCAAGTTGGCTCACAGAAGCAAAATTCTCTGCAACCTGATAACCTGTCGCCCTGATTTTGTAAGACTTTGTTAAGCCTTCTGATGTTTACATTCTTTCAACAAACTTTCTCACACACAGTTCTGTAAATAACCTATGTTTTGCATTCTTTCATAGAGGTGGAGAGAATTGATGGACCCTTGGTCTGTCCAGTGGCATTGGAGAAGTAGCACTGTCACCCTCCAATCCACTGTCACCTTTAGAAAACTATAAATGATGGAATCAGAAAATAAAGCTTCTTCTTTTTGTTCCCCTCGAGAGCAGCAGTGTCTGTGTCATCATTTCGTGCCTTATCACAACAATAACCCATATTAACAAGGAAGAAAATAAAATTGGGCTCTTTACGTGGTCATGTATATCATTCTTGCATTAGCAAAAGTGTCTTCTACAACATGATTACACCTGTGTTAGAGGACAACCATTCCTTCAGCACGTGTGTCTGCAGGAGCTGCCTCACCTCTAGAGAACCAGCACCACTACAGCTACTCTACTCAGCAGGGGTCAGCACGAGGACTCAGGCAGGACTATGGTTCAAAGGGACTCAGTACAAAATTTATAATTAGTCTGTCACTACATGGCACTGAGGAGGTCTCTGGCTACGTGTGCCACTACCCACAGTACTCACCTGCTCCTGTAGATTACTGTGTAACTACACTTAGCAGGTCCATATGCAATTACCATGCAGCCTGCACTGAAGTTCAGAACATACAAATAATTACAAATAATCCTGAAAGGTCAGCTCTGCCATGACATGATATTCACCATGGGTTTTGTTACTATCCTGACCTGTTTCACTTCCTCCTTTTACAAATTCCACCCAAGTCCTGAGCTGGGCACACTGATTCAGCAATTCCAGCTGGCAGAGTTTTTGAACATTGTCCATTAATTTAAAGGTGATATCCACCTCCAACATCCTCAGATGAATGAAGACTTCACGTCCTTCAACCCTGCTTGTAAAAACCCTTTTCTTTCACAAGGTGTGTCTAGACTTTCCCTAGACTTTCATTCACTTGGTCCAGCAGTAAAGGCATAGCAAAACTTGAGGCTTTTGCCATGATACAAAATGTTTGTGGATTCATTCCACATAACTGTTAGAGATCTGCAGAAAAATTGCCCAGAGAGTTTGTGGAATCTCTGTCCTTGGAGATATTCCAAAGCTATATGGACATGGTCCTGGGCAGCCTGGTTGAATAGGGTTTTGCACAGGACGACCTCCAGAGATTCTTTCCAACCTCAGCCATTCTGTAAATCTGTTAAAGATGAAATTCTACTTACTTCTGCTATTATGTATGCAGAAATCAACTACACAAGGAAATAACCTGGACAGTTAACTTTGAACAAGTTCTCTGCACTAAAAGTAAAATTATTCAACTATTAATGCAACGGAAACCTTTTCAGCACTATTACAAAATCGTACTGGGGTGCAACTCCATTTAAGGTTTTGACTTTATCTACTCTGGTTTTCATAGCCCTTCAGAAACACTGCCAGAACAGTTATCAGAAGTGGTTATAACCACATCCTTATGATAGTGCAGCAAAATTCTAAGAAACTTCACTAAAGGAAATCTACATCCTATGCATTTCATTTGAGACACTTGCTGATCATGTTTTCATAGAGTTATTGTGAAAATACAAAAGCAGAGTATACCAACCACTTTGCAATCCAAAGGCTCAGCAATGTGAGAAAGAATCCTTTGTGTCAGATGAGGTTAGTTAAACGTTGATTAAAAGTTTCAAACACATGTAACAAAGCAACTACAAATAACTATTCTTAGACCTGAAAGCACATATAGAAATGCAATAAATGTGTCCAACATCTTAAAAATTCAACAAGCAATCCAAAGCTCACCTGAGACTGCGAGACCGAGGCCTCAAGGCTGGAGAATGGCGCCCTTCCTCATCAGTGATGCTCTCAGTACTGAAATGCTTTGTCAGGAAATGAAGTTCATCTGCCGTGGGCTGAAAGGGCAGCTGGTGCAGCTTCTCCTGAGATGAGCATGATGACTGAGTACAGAAAAAAATACAGAAAAGAAATGCACTAAACGCATGCATAGGGGTCAGCTAATGAATGGAAGAGGAACGGATTCTGCCAGACACTGCGCACTCCAGCGGAAAAGAAAGCTATTTATCAGACCAGGTGCCTCTTTTTATTGTTCTCATCAGGCTAAGCCAACCCTTACATTCAATGACAGAGCTGGTGAGATCAGGAAAACTTTGGGAGAGGCTAGGGAACCACTGTATCTGATTCTGGAACCAGCACATCTGATCATACAGATAATTTACTATCAGGAGACAGAATGGAAGGCACAGGAGTACCAGCACTGCTCAGGAAAGGACAAGGAGGTTCCTGGAGTGGTGAGCAACTTTCTTTCCTTTTCCCTCATATTCTCTTAGCTGAGGAGCTTCACTGGCATGCAGAATGCTATGGAGCTGTGTGGACATGGGATTTTCTGCTGGTTATTGGCTCTCACTGGAAACTGCTACTGTAAATGGCCAGGATTTTATTTCTCCTTTTCAGGCTTCTTCTCTAACCAGGGAAGCAACAATAAATAAAGTATCTGACTTTAAGACTAACAAAGTTTTTCATCAGTGAGTTAAACATTTTATTCTTCTGTAAATAAGTTGATGCATTTATTTGACACATGTTCTGTGATAATAATAGACATGAAACTGTTTTAATTTGTGAACCTCATAAAACCTGAAATGAAAAGAAATATTTGTGGAAATATTTGTGGGAAATGCTAATAACATCAAAGTTAGACATTCCAGGGGAAAAAGCTGAAGATCGACTAACAAATGTGTTTTTGTGTGTGATTTTTCAATGCCTCTTTCCATTTTAGAGAAGTAAGAAAATAAATTACGTAAGGACAAATTTAAAATTCTCTTTAAAAACAAAAGAGAAAATGAAAAAGAAAAGGCGCTGAATAATCAGAGTAGCACTGAACAACACCAGTGGGCCCTATTAAAAACATCACCCTGACCTAAGTTCCACAGCTCCTTATTATCTGATGAAATTAATTACATACACTGTTCCAGCAGGAAAAACTTTTCCTTTGGCTACAACCCTCACTTAGACTGAAAGCACCACATCCTAGTACCAGAAGTATTGGTAGGAGGGAGTTATACATGATATAACACTTATGACCAAAGATTTAACTCATCTAGCATGGGAAAGAAAGCATATCTGCCTCTTGCCATATAGCTAGATCATCTGGATTGACATTTTCTGAGGGAAAAAACCCAATCAACCAACAAATCTGAAATGAACAAGTCAGATAGAATGCATCTGTTTAGAGGGTGTAGTTGTTCCAAGTATTGTAAGCAACAGAAAGTCAGATGATACAAGAACCTATAAACCTAAAAATCCTATTTTAGACAAAAATTTAATTGGCTCCAGATCTACTCCCACTGCACTGCACAGAGGCATTTACAGAAAAGAATCCCCTAGAAAACCTTGGGATGTGCACGAACTTCCCAAGTGTGCCTGGAACTGAAAGCCACCACTTCCAATGTTTTCTTCCAGCCAGGTCTGTGTGGAGGAACCTTGTTGGGAAGTCACTTCCAGCCCAGTGTGCACACACTGATGTTTACCCAGGTGGTGTATCAGTTTACACTGCTCTATTCCACACTGAAGCCAAGACAGAGTGTGGGTATTTGCCCCTTTGCCCACAGCTGTTCTGCTCCTCAAACTGTCTATGCCAAGTACAGTGACTATTTTCTCCCTTAAGCACAGAATTATACAAATCCTGTTTTGATTTTCAAAGATTGTGTTGATATCTTTGTTTACATCTCAAACAATACAAGGAGTAGGGAGAAGAACTGCCTATGAAAAAACCTCAAAGAAAAAGTTAGGTGGCAGCTGAAATCCCATTCATGGTGAATAAACAGATCCTGCAGTGGAGCAGGAAGTACTAAAGACACTGAAAAACCTGCCTTAACAGATACCCAAGTTCTGGTATTGCAAATACATGTCTGATTCAAAACAAATTAGTTTAGCACATAGTTACTTGAATTAGAAAAAAAATATCAAAACTTATAATCTAGAAAAATCATTAAAAACTTTATGTTTCCCAACAGCAAAATCACTGGGGAAGTAGTGCTAGTCGACCCATGGACAGCCCAGCAAAATCCTCTCTCCACTTACTCTCCCTAAAACCAATCAAATCACAAAGTTTAGAATTCCAGAGAATAATTAATGAAGGCCCTAAAGATAAAGACCATGGACTTTCTCTGCCAAGGGCTTCTCTAGCAGGCACATGACCTTTCAATGAAAAAGCATGAAAGCAAAGTGAAACACTTCTGAAGTATTGATTTTCAGGTAATCACATCACAGTACTCAATATTTGCAGCAGACTAATACAAATATCCCCCTGGTGTCTTAATTACAGATGCAGAATTAGCCAACTCTTCTCCAGTAAAAAAAAAAAAAATCAATCTATATTACTGTTGCTTGTAAACTAACTCTGCATCTAGAAAATTAAGAGCAGATTAACTGTTTAAAAATAATTGTATACTGGCACATCTAACTGATTATTTTATGTTCACCTAACTTAAAAGGTCTTCTCCAGCTTCTTCAGTGTTGGTCTGATGGTACATCTGGTCTTCATGATTTGTAAAGAAAAGGGTAAATGTGGTTTGGTTTTGATTGAAGTGTCATCCTTCATTTGGAAGTAAAAAATAAAGCAGAATCTACAGGTCCTCAGTGACCTAGGACTAGGTAAATGCCTTGGGTTGCTCATTAGGTTGGTACAGCAGGTGATCTGTGATCACAGAGATGAGGGTCAGCTCTTGCTCTCATACAAAAACTCAACCAGCAGGACACATAACGGACTAGGCCCTTCTTGATATTTCATTTCCCACTGGCACAAACACCAGAGCAAAGGTCTCCTCCTGGCTTCTTTTATCTTGCTTGAGAAAGAAACAATCTTGAGGACTGATCATATGAAATGGAAGCCCAAACTTCTGTTAAATTCCTATCTGCAGCACTAATTCATTGTGTCCTTCTGACAAATCCCTTTACTGCCTCTTACTTCAGTTTCAAAGTCTATGCAGGAATAACACTGCTTATCAACTTTAGAGGTGTTATTCAGATCAATTCAAATTAATTCTAATCTGTGAAATACTGAGATAATAGGATTGGCTTAGAAATGTAATACCAGGTTTAATAGCTCAAACAATTGCATCACTGCTTACTAAACAGCCCATTTCAATGCCTTTCTACTACTGAACCAGCAAAAGGACTAGAGATGAGGAACTTAAGTCACTTAATGAAAAAAATAAAAGCCTTGGAATTACATGTTTCAACCTATTTCCCGAATGAAGCTGAATTCAGGTCTAACTACAGCTATCACTTTATGCTTCTCATTACACTTCCCTGTTACTTGCACTTTGAAAAATTACCATTTGAACTGATTCTTTCTATGTGACATGTCTATCTCAGATTTGATTGTTTTGTTTGTTTTTTTCATGGGAAAACATTAATCAAAATGATCTATCTATTTCTGGGAACATGACAAGAGACAAATATGATGAATGAGTACAGAAAAAAAAATACAGAACTTCAGAAAGTTCTCAGCTTTCTCATGCCAGAAAGCTGGGAACTTTCTAAAAGTAGCCTTGGTGTCCCGATTTCAAAGCAAGAGCTGATGCTTCCAACAGATTTTTGGTGTTTTTACTTTTTCTCTCTCCATGGGCATCCACCTTAAGTCTGGTCAAACTACAAACTCTTTAAAAACTACAGTTTGGCCTCCAAAAGTGTCATCTTCACAAGCAAAATGGAAGCTGTCACAGTGACTACCAATGACCAAGCTATTTGGATGTCATCCGTATGGAAATAACTGCACTTGCTCCATGCTCCCATAGCTTGAAGAGGACTTAGACATGGATTATGCCCATAAAGATTTAACCTAAGACTATAAAGGCCAAAGCAGAGCACCTTCTTAAAAGCTGCTCTCAAGTGCTTGAATGTATAATAATGTGCGGCAGTGCAACCAGGGACATCTTCTTAATGTACATTTTTCTGTGCTCCTGCCCACATATCTGTATGCACATTGAAATCAGGTCACCTGCCTTCCAAAGAGACAAAAAGCACCCCAAACTCAACAAGAAAACCACTGTCTTGAAGTTCAGAAGATAACAAATGGTAGAAATTGTGTGAACTAGAGCTTGCAAGAATGTGTCTGAACAAATTAAGTCTAGAGATAAGATTAACAGAATCAAATTTTAATCATAGCAACTTATACTAAAAGGAAACTTTTGACCCAAATTTCTTATTTTTCTATATAGAAAGTATTTAACACTCACCCCCAAAAAACCTTATAAATTTGTGTTTGAGAAGCACTAGAAAGTCTATGAATGAACTTAGAACAGTTCACAAGGAAAACAATGATACAGTGTAAGATTTGCATAAGATGTAGTAATGAGCCCTAATTAACAAAGGTGTTACAATTATTAGGAGCATACTCTAATAATTAATACCAAACCAAATGATCAATATTATGGAAAGAGGCAGTGATTTGTTACCACACAGTTGAAGACACCATAAGACACATACAAAGGCATGTTACATTAAGTCTGTACTTTATAGTTCTAATGTTTCTATGTTTGTCTCTGCAAGGTTCTAATGTGGATAACCACAATGCCTAGCTGACTTAAACTAAAGAGTAAGATTCATTTTAGGAAGCATGTCAAAGTTACAAGGGTTAATGTGGGGCTGACAGCTTGGTGGAATTGCTGACAGAACTCAAGCAAACCGCAGCCAGCCATTCTAATGATGGCTGTAAGAACTGGAAAGCTTCATTAGGAGGTTCAAATTACTGGAGCTGAATAACAGATGTGGCTTATCAATTTTTCTCTCTGCTAGCCCAGTAGCAGAGGTTTTCAGACTAAGTACTTGAAAGCAGACAAGAATTTCATTCCTCAGTTACAAAAAGCTGAGAGCTGGAAGGTATTTGTGCACTATCTCTGAGTCCTGCCACTTTGGAGACTTTGTGCCTCTCAAAGGATCACTTGAGCCAAGTGCTGCACTGGGATTTCACCAATGCTGAAGGCAAAGTGCAAGATGATAGGAGCTGGGAAATGGAGGAAAAAAGCAGCAGAACCAATAATTAAAATAATTTTTAAAATAATTAGTATATTAAATAATGTTAGCAAAACAATGAAGAAAGATCCAGTATTTTAGTAGAGACTCAGAAGCTGATTTGTTAGGGTGTGTTTGTACAAACTGAATTGCTTGGAAAAGTCTGTATCACTTACTGAAACTGTTGAACTGGGAGTGTTTGTTCCATATCCAGATGAAGGAAGGGAGGCCAAGGACCAGCGGCGTCCGTCCGTTCTGGGAAAAAGATGTGAGGGAAATCACAGTCAGGAACACAGTGTGGATAATTAGGGAGAGAAATAAGCAAGTTTCTTCTCTGTATCTCCTAACCTCACCCTTTTATTAATGTCTTGAGTTATTCAGATAAATCAGGGATCCTATTTACAATCACACTTGTGGAAAAGCAATTTGAGTAAGTTTTAAAAGAAAAACTAGGTGATCTCAGAAAAGCTGAAGCAAAGGAGCACCAGAATCCTGCATTAAGTAGATGCTTTGTGCTTGTACAAAACTTGGAGTTCCTAAAACAGACAAATACAAACAGCTCCTTGCAAACTTCTTTGAAAAAGACACTCATGCTTATCATACTTATGCAGCTCATTGTCTTCCAAATGAAGATTCAGATTGAGGACAAAAAAAAAAATTACATTAGATCAAGAATCAACTGAAAGCAGATTAATTTGTTTACCTATTCAGAGGGCATTCTGCCCAGCACATTGCCTGGTACAGCTGGAAAATTAAACCCAGCAGATAGGAACAGAGCCAAGAGGCCCACTCCAAATACCTAAGTAAATCACAGAAATCCCACCTAGGGTCCTTTCTCGTCCAGTCAGTATAACATTAGTTGTTATTTCCCTATTGTAGCCAAATAAACATATTCCTCAGGGAAAACATCCAAAACATTGTGGAGATACTGAAGAAAGGTCTTGTTTTGCCAGTGTCAAAGCTGAGAAACTGAGGAACTACACAAAAGCTTTGAGAAGAATCAGTGCTGCCCTCCCTAAAATCCTCTTCTTCCCCCAAACCCAATCTCAGTGAGGATGGAAAATGAACTACATTCAGCTCAGTCTCACAGCACTTTTTCTGTCTCTGATCTATTTTCCCACATCTTGTGTCCTTAAAATGAACAACCATGTCCTGTTGTACAATGGGATGGATGTTAAAAGTCTCTTCCTCAGGCCAGTTTCCGTTTGCTTGGGTTTTTTCTTGCAGCAGATTATCAATAACTGGTCATAACATGAAGCTGAATTGGAACAGCTCTAACTCACTTCAGAGAGATATGGGGGGTTTTGGTACACACAGATACAGTGCATTTATGCAAGTGCATTATAAAATAGGATATTTGGTACAGGTCTGAAATAGTGATTTTAAAAACCTCAAGGGTTATCTTCACATTAATATTTCTCATCCCACTATCCATACCCATGAAGCCTCATCTCCAGATAAAGGTTCAGTGCCCACCAAGACAAAAACCCCTGTTTACAGTTTTTCCAGCTCTGGTTCCTTTTATTTTCAGGCACTGATACACACCTCTCTTTGCCATCTATCTTAGAATGAGAGGGAAATAAACTCACTGTTCCACATCACTGAAAGAATATTATGTCAATACAGTTTTAAAAAGACTCATGCTTCATGCATTAAAAAAATAATAAGTCTGTAATGCAGATTTTTATTGCATGCCTACGTTACAGCTAAACCCCATTTAGCCACAGGTGATGTCTTCTCTGGCAAGACAATTAAATGTAAAAGAACAATCTCAAAGTAATTTCAAGTGAAATGGAATTCCTTTCTTAACCCTGAAAAACAACAACTATCCACATTACAAAGTTGTAGCATGCTGTGATAAGGGATTGAACACCAAACTTCAATAATCTTCATTGAGTTTCTTGTAACATACAGGGGCTCTGGGGAAATATTTAGGTCAATGATTCAACCTCACTTTGGATCCTCAGTCCCAGAGCAAAACACTCTGTTGCTTGCTACATAAGTTACTAATTTCTTGCAAAAGAAAAGCTTGATTTTTTTTAAACTGAATTACCTAAATGGTGTATTGAAATAACTTTAGAATTTTCATTTTGACCAAGTTAAAAGAAAATATCTTTCTCAATTAGAAAATTCCAGCACACCCCTTCATGCTTAGGCTGTTTTCTGCTGATGCAATCCAGGCAAGCAATGTGCTAAGGAGTCAGGACAAACATATCAGCTCTACTCTAGCAGAAAGAAGTGGGACAAGAGTGAAAATCTTCCAAATCAAGGAAGGGGAAAAGACCTTTAAAGCAATTCCTTCTACATTTATGCAAAGCATTTCAAAATACTTCAGTGTTTTGTTAATAAACATATTTGTAGAGAGACAACATGCAATACTACTTCAGGATAAGACACTTGGAATGACACCTTTAGGTTTTTTTAATTATTATAGATGCTTTGCTAGCCCACAAAGACATGCAAACAACAAATTTTGCCTCTAAAATGATATTTTAATTAGTTAATTATGGAGGTATTTTTATGGCAGCTAAATGCTATTTCATGGATAAGCACATCAGTTTCAAACAAGGAGTTAGAAAAACAACACATCTTCTCCAGAGCGATACCTGTTTATTATTGAAGCCAAAATGTCAAGATTTTCTGTTTCTATTACAAAGACTAGAAGCTGAATGCCTAAATGGGGTTGTTACAGCATGAACTTGTTAGGGACACGTGCTCAGCTGCACAGAAGCACAGTTCACACACACACACAAACAGCAGCAATGGGATACACGTTACCTGTCTGCTCTGTGTCCATGGCTGTGTGGAAAAAATTGTACAATAATTATGAGAGAGGGAGCAGTAAATGATGCACGTGATTTCTGAAAAAATCCCTTCATCTTCTGTTACTGATATTCCTCCAACATCAGGAGGAATATGTATCAACATACATTTCCTTATTCCAGCAGGAGGATTCCTGCCCATGTTGTGGCTATGACACAATCATTGAAAGGGTATCTAACAAGGGATTTATGGTTAATCACAAGTCAGACTCAGGACAACCTTGCAGGAAATTGTAATGGCTTTACAGTAACACAAGCTTTCCAAACAAGTTTCCTATTCCATCTCAAGAAAAAAACTCATTACAGGACTATAAAGAAAGAATGGAATTCACAAATTATGTCCAAACAGGATAATAAATGAAGAAATTACACCACCAATAAAAGGCAGAAAATCAGCAACAAGTAATTCCTGTGATGGCAAAGGCAGGAAATCAGGCAAGGGCCTGATCTCTTAAGCCCCATGCAATGCCAATGAATAGGGTACTGTGAAATATCCATTCCTCTGGCACCACACTTGTAATTCCTTAATTCCATCATATAGAAGTTATTCTGATACCAGTATGGGGTAATCCAGTATGTATCTGTTGTTACTGCTGGCATAGCTATTCAGGCTGTAATGCAAGCAGAAAATAGAAACAGGTTTCTAAAACAAGCAGTGCTTAAGTGTTCTTTTCCCTGGCAAAAAAAGTATAGAGAGGAACATGAATACTATAAAATGAACCACTGTACTCAACAGGACAGGCTTAACCTTTATTCACCTATTTCTTTAAAAATTAGATTTTAGAAGTGGAAAAGTATGGAAGGGCACTCTTCAGAGATTTAGAAAGCCATACTGAAGGATCAAGTTGAAACATGATATTGAAAAATTACATTAAGTTTTGACAATAACTGCTGTTTCTGCTGCAACTTTTATACTGTTTTCCAGATTCCAGAACTCCTGTGAGATACTTCAGATACTGTGAAAACTGGTAAAAGTTCAGTTGATTTCAAAGAGCTTATTGAATACATCCAGATCAGGCTTTAAAAACAAATGTGGGTGAGTCCATTTGAATTGTTTAAGCAGCAGGTAAAGCACTAATATTCCCTCTGAGGCAGCAGGAAAATACATATCCAGACTCTTACATTTCATATGCTATTAAAAAGCATTTTCTTACATAAGACCAGAAGACCAAAGTCTGCTTCAAACAGAATTCAAGGACACCAGGTCTTCTAGCAAATCACCTCAATGGAGAAATGCTCCAGGATTTTCCTGCCATTCAGATAAAGAGTGTACCTTATTCCATCAAATCCTAACCCTTTATTCTTCTCTGAAGTTTTGAGACTTATCATTTTTTCTAACTAGTCCTAAGCTAAATCTGTCTCTTAGAAAACTTACTTTCTCTCAGGACGATCACACATTTACTATTCTCAGATCATTTTAACACAGACGAGGTTTTTTCAGCTAAGGCAGAATTTAACAAATCCTAAATACCTTCCTCACGCTTTAATAACCCACCTCCTATGCACAAACACTGCTTGGGAGCTCTCTAATTTCTCTGTTCTTTCTCACAAAATTTAACTTTCTGTATCATTATCCATTTCTACCTACCTGCTGGGATTCAACTTTCAAATCCCCATTTTTCTGCTTCTCCCAGCTGTCTGTATTCTTTCATTCCTGTTCCTTACACTAAATCCACCACTGTGGGATCAGATTTCTCCCCAGCAGTTTGACACACACATGACCAGCACCTGTCCAGCAGTGGCTGCAGGACAGATGACAGCTCCACACTGGGGTCTCTCAGTGCTGCCCTTGCAGAGGTTCTCTCAGACTTGCAATTTCAATTATCAGCTATTTTCCTCATTGAGCAGTAATGTTCTCTTGACATCAATGCCCAAGACAGCAGAAAAAACTCAGGAGTCACTACCAGTGAGAAGGCAGGGAATGAAGACACAGAGCTGTGCACACCTAATTTAAGGAATTTTTATACCTTTGTGCAGACACAACAAAGAAGACCACCAAAGAATACACCTCAGTGAGAGCAGCATCTAGGACTACAACGAAGTTACAATTACCCTAATCATGACTGGCTTTAATGTCACTTTGACTAAATTATGTGTCATATCACGTGCCCTACATGCCATTCTGGGAGAACGTTGCCTCTTCCCCAGGCTGCATTAACTGCTTCATTTACTTTATCTTTTTCTAGGTCTGAAAAGCACCTAACACAGTCTGGTGCTGCCAAGATGTAAGCCATAAGGAGTAAAACAAAACATAATTTGAGACATCAAAGAAAGTAAAACACAATCAAAAATGTTCTAACCCACAGGCCATCTGTAAAAAAAATGCATGGACTATTTGCTTGCCAGTCCAAAGAGAAGAGATCTTGCCTTACCTTCGGGCAGGAACAAAGGAAAAATGAGCAGGTGCATTTGGAGAGAAGTTCCTGGGACTGTCCAAGGGGCTGCTACCTGTTTAAGAAAGCAAAAATTACCAGTTCAAAACCATTTTGTTCACATTTGCAACAAAATGACAGCAACAAGTTTTCAGTGTTCTGAAAGACTTTGAACTGCACGCTGCAGTCACAAATAACTGGAAATATGGAGCTTTGAGTCTTTGATTTTTGAGCATTAGTTTGCTAAAGAAATGTTCTGACAGATGTACCAGTATTTTTTCTCCTTTTAAAATAATTTAAAGGGTATGTTTCATTTCCCACTTTCAGGTAAGTAATGTATTACCCATTGACAATAGAGTCTTTTAATATTTTGCAGTAACTTCTATCTACAAGCTTTTCCCAACACTTATCAATGAAAAACCTGAAGCAACACATGCCAGTTTCAGGAGAAATAAACAGTAAGAAAACATTTCTTCCCAATGTATGCTAAGGTTGAATGCAAAAGTCACTGAGAAAATAAAAAGGGATATACCATGAAAACTACACATAATAAAAGGATTATCTATATGTAGGATGATTGGGCTAAAACCTATCAGCAGTCACACTAACTACCACTTTTCTGAAATGCTACTTTACCATGAAAATGAAAGTACCAGTGAAACTGGTAAGAAGAAAAAACAGTTAATTTTTTGTCTGGTTTTTTCCTCTGGGCTTTGTCATACGGTGTATAATCATGGTGAGTGGTTTATTGCAATGTAGCTTATTCCAGAGCAAAAAGCAACCATCATGCAAGAAGCCCTTCTGAAAGCCAGGATCATTTACAAACTAACTACAGAAATATTTCAAAGATATGGATGAATTTAGAAGCTTCACATCAGTGAGTGTGCATTCTATTGGGCATGAAGTGCTTTGCTGTATCCCATCATTAATACAGGCACAGAAGAGAAACTATCCATAAATGTGTCAACAGCAATTTCTTTGTGCAAAGACAACAATATAGCACTAAAATAAGACCAGGAAAACAAAATAGATTCTGGAAAAGCAATACACTGCAAGGTACATCAGAAATGGTTTTAAATTTAGATCCCATATAAAATGGTTTTATTTTAAAAGCCACGTTGAAAAGGCAAACCTCAGGTATGAGCCATCTCCAAAGGACTTGTCTCTGTTTCAGAAGCTCAAGTTGCCCAGCCTGCCTCTCAGGGCAGCAGTGATCCTGAGGTTACAGTCCTATCCAGCAACCTACTGAAGCTTATAATTAAGCTTATAATTAAGTCACATTCATTTCAATCCAAGTAATCCACACACCTTTGCAGTTCCACTGAGCAGGAGTAGAATGTAAGCACAGTGCTCAGCTGAAGGCAACGTTCCCTCCCACTTCAGCCTTACAAAAGGTCACAAAAGTCTGCAGCAGCACCTCTGCACAACTTCTGTGAGCAAAGTGTGCACACCTGGCACGTGTGCCAGGGCAGGGAGGGAGGAGGAGGAGGAGAAGGGGAACAGGCTGACACCTCCTGGGGTCTGAGGATGGCCACAGTGCAGCTCAGGCCAGCAAACTCCATCTGCTCTGCAAGTCTGCAAGGGGAAAAATAGCAGCTGGTTGAGATTAAACCAGCCCCAGGCTGATGGAACATGTGTCATGGGGTGATGAGAGAACTGGAGAGGTAAGTGAATTCCAGACCACTCCACAATCTGCTTCATCAAGAGCAAACTAAATTAAAAATAAAGAGTTTGAGCAACAGGTTTGTTTTCCTTTGCCTTGGTTTTCTTTCATATTGTTAGTTAAGACTAACAATGAGTTCACAGTTGAATACAACACAATTCAAGTCTTCATCCAAAACTGGATATTATTTAACCCATTCCCAGTATATTCCAAGTGCAGAGGGGAGAGAGTGATCAGAAACCCATAGCTAAATAACTTCTGGTGTTTCATTTATTAAGCTTGTACTCATTTTAATTCCTATGGTCACAGGGGAAAATCAGAACCATTTTGCTACTTTTGAGCCACAAGAAGATGGAAAGGTCTGACAGTGGCAGTCTAGGAGGCACTGCAAGCTTCCAAGGAGACTGAGGAAGTCCAAGTGAAGGAGTCATGCATGACAATTCACGTCCTGTCAGCAGCACATTCCTTAAGGGTGACCCCCTTAAGGTCAGGGTCACCAATCACTTGGTAGCAGAAAGCTGAAGGAGCATTTTAGGATGCTGCAGGAGTGAGGCCTTTCCATGGTGATGCAGATGATCTAACAAAGCAAGGAAGGCTGCCAGCTTTGCTGGAAACCTTGGTCTTTGCCTTCTCATTTTTCAAGCTTTACTGGCAATGAACACTACTGTGTCAAGATGATAGTTTTGATCAAAAACCTCATTGCCCAATGTTGTTATAAACAAGCAATGAACTGTCATTGCCTTTTTATATCTTCATCAATCTTTGAACTTTCTGGGCTATGATCAAAATGGAATTTCAGAATAACTGAGCAAATTGGGTAATGACAGTTTTTAAATTTTGAAATTAAGTATGTGGGTGTTGAAACTCTTCTGAGCCTGCAGTGTGTGGTACAGAGATACTACTAATTTTTAAGCAACTACTTTTTCAGATGTATATGGCATATTTCCTTTCAGACACTGGAATTTTAATTAGGTCCCCTGTGATTTGCTTCTAGTTTTAAAATGAAAAGCAATTAGTTTTTCTACTCAATTCAAGTCTGGGTGAAGCTTTTAAAACAACAACAGGGAGACAGGGAATTTCTACTTTCCCTAAAATTTCCCAGCACTGCTGCATCTGCTGTAGATGAAGGTATTTTAATAAGAGAAGCCTGAGTGCAATGGTCTCGTTCACCAAGGCTGATCGAAACCCTATTTATTCTGCAGGAAAGGTAGATTCCCCTGTTGCTCCAGGGTTATAGTTGGCTACACTGAACCAGAAATGCCTCTGTCTCAAGGGAGGCTGTTACACAGAATGATTGCCCATTAGGTAAATCAACCCAGCAACACCAATGCCAATAATTCAGGCAGGAACCTTTACATCTTCCGGACACGGGAAGAAGGATGCAGCCAAAGCATTTGTAAAGCCACTACCTTCAAAATATGAAACCAGACCTTACAGGCAAGGACAGTCTCAGCTATCCCCTACAAACATGAATTACACTCATCAGATAGGTTATGGACCCCAAAATTCATTACAGAACCATGTTGTAAAACCTGCTTCTGAGAGCCATAAAAATTAATAAATAAACACAAAAGCTAAGTTTTTGTGATCTTTTATGCAGGATATTCAAATTATTTGCTGAATATTAAAGCAAGCAGCTAAAGATAATGTGCACGCTACAGAATTAGATGCCTTCCAGCACACACAAATTTCAAAATTATGACCATATTTAAAGCACCCTGTGTACCACCAGTTTCATAAACAATGAATGCCGTGGTGCTCTCAGACCAGCCAAGGATCACAGCATGATGTGCTGATAAACCTCAGCTTTAATAACCAGGGCAGGATCTAGGGTGGGATGTTATATACTCTGCACACTCTAAAAATAAATAGATAGGCACCTGAGCAATAGCCATTCTTCTGCCAGAAGGTGGAATTGAATTTGCAGTGTAATAGCAGAATAGTTTGATTCACAGTGCTGCCTGTGAGCAGCTCCCTTCGTGTGCCATTACAGATGGGAGCAGGGCAAAGGTCCCAGCAGTGACAAGTGCCCCACTGGAAGCCAGAGAGCAACCTTGCTACCATACAGCTGTGAAAAGTAAATTTTAAAATAGCCTGAGTTTCAATTTCCCAGATGCAATTACCTATCTCTTTACTACTAAATTACAATGTAACTTCTTTGATTTTAAGCCTTTTGATTTAAAGTGTAATCTGATGGCAATTTAGTTATGAACCATATGGTGTAACCTCTTCGTAATTTTCAGATTTTAAAAAACAGATTCAAAGAAATAGAAAAAAAATAAGGAATACACGTGCACCTCTTTACTTCCCCTTCTCATTCCAAAACAAATGAATTAAAATAAATGCAAAATTTTCAAACTTGCATTCCTAAAACTGACCACTACAAGTTTGGGAGACTAAACCAGCAGAGTGACTTCCCCATGAGCCGTAGCTCTTTATGCTAAAGTACCAGCTCATTCTAGAAAATTCTGGTTCATACAGCCTGGAAACTGAACTAGCACACTTAAGTGCTCTTGATTTCATGGCAGGATTCAAAATATTTGGATGTACTTTTTTCTCAAATGTTGAGAGCTCTGTAAGTAATACTTTTCTTCTAAGTTTTCTAGGACATGAAGTAGCCTGGCATCTTGTTGGGATGCTGTTTGGGACAGTAAGTCCTCAGTGCTCATGAGGAGCTAGGTTTGCCTGACAGAAAGAACTCTCCTAGATCTCACCCACTGACTTTTACATCATGTACAGAAGAGTAACTCCTGACATTACTGCCATTTATTTATTTTAGTGTATTGTATTTTAGCATATTTATTTTAGTATTTTAGGAATTTATTTTAGCGTGGTGTCTGAACAGAAACATTTTAGAAAACCTCCCTGGTTTCTCTGCATGCTTGCTGTTCCTTTGATTTGCAGCAGAGGCTCAGAACGGGCATTAAGAAGACAAGAGAAAAGTTCAAGACAAAAGAGGCCGGAGAGAGGCACCAGTATTTCTTAGTAACTCATCACTGCGTGTGCTTGAACAAACAGACTGACAGATTCTGTTCAAATACTAAACAAATATCACAGCCTGTTCTCAAATTCACTCCTCATATATGATATTTCTTAAGAAAATATTTGTGACTCTACTCTAAATTTCATCTACTTTTGTCTCTTGAATAAATTAATTTTTTTCCCAGAGAAGACTCCTAAATATAGTACTGGTGAGAACCCAAATAAAATAAATTTATCTTCCAGGTAACAAAGGATGCCCTTTTAATTAATAATTTTAAATCCCATGTGCAACATCAGGAAAAAAAAGGAAATATTTGAAAATTACTGCTAAAGTAAGGTGGCACACTACCAAGTAGTTACTCTTCCTTTCAGAAGACACTCACATACTTCAAATAAATTATAAGCTTGTAAAGCCTGAAACAGTATCAAAACCACCAGAAGAAACTTAATTTTTTAAATAGAGGAGAAAAGCAAATCAAAAGAAAATACAATACACATTTCTATTATGAACATTTCTTCATTTGTTTTCTGACCAATGATCATGTCAATATCATGTTGCAGTCTCCCAAGCATTTCTTTTTCTCAGTTAAAGGCTTGCAGAGCTAATTTAGAATTCAGTGAAACCAACACATATATGAATTTAAAGCAAAAAGCACAACGTAACTAAGTGGAGAATCTCTACCAAGAAAAATGCCTTGTTTAAACTAAATTTTACAAAATTATTGCTACCATAACCACACACAACAGCAACAAGGGAGTCTGAAGTGGAAGGAGATGGTCCCATACACATTTTTTGCCCTGTATTTTCTTCCAGATTCTGAAGCAGAAAATGGTTTTAATATACCATCTGTGAGATTTTATTAACATTTTAATTGGAAAATCATGGGTCATTTTAGAATAACAATGTACTTAAAGCATCTTCTTAGCTTTCCGTGACTGGGCTTTTTATAGCATCCCAAGTGTGGCAGATTTTTACTTAAGAAAACTTAAGAGTGAATGAGGCTTTTATGGGCATCCCTGAACAATAACTTCGGCCTTCTTTTTCCTTTCAACAGGCTGGATATCACCTCTCGGGATGCAAAGCTCTGCAAACAGAAGCAGATGGCTCCTTGCAGCTGAGCTACCATCAGTTTGCTGTTCTTTCTCAGCACAGCCTCAGTTTCAGTCTCCAGAAAGCATTTACAGAACATACTGCCATGTAGGAGGAAGCCAGTCTGATTATAATGAAAACAGCGTTCCTCGTCTCACACGCAGCAGTGACGTGTTTCCAGAGAGGCTGCACTGAGGGTGATGTGCCACAAAGGTTCCAGCTGTTTCCTGCTGCTGACTGGTGCCCACCAGGGACAGACCTGGAGCCCAGTCATCCTCTCTGGCATTTTGGAATAGCAACACCAAAGTCGTCACACACCATCTACCTCCCTCAGCAACAAAAACAAGGGAACATGCTGTTCAGGCAAGCTGTTGAATCTGCATGTGTGACCCTTTCTGAAGAATTATTCCTTCTTTTTCTGTTGGAAGAACATCTCCACACACTTCACTTCAATGACTAACAAGCCCCTGCCCATGTGTTCTGAAACAAGCATTTCCCAGCTGCTGCCATGATAAAATTGGGAGCAGTGTAAAAAAGAAATAGAACTCCCAAACACCTGATGTTGCTGTGAGGAGCAGACAGAGACCATAAGATGGCACACTGCACAGCTGCCAGAGGCACGTGGAAACAGGCAGGATGCTCCTCCTCATGAGAACTGCAGTTAAATCACTGGCACAAATTAACCATGCTCAGAGACTCAAAACAAGAGATTTACTGAAATGTATTTATCTAATTTTATTTCCATCTCAGACTCTTTTGCAGGATGTAAGAGGATTGAATCCCCCAGGAAGAGTGGAGGATGGATATGGAAGCAAACTAGAAAGTCCAGAACATAAAACATTTATCTTGAAACTATAAGGACCCTCTTACAAGTTAGAGGTGAAAAACCACAGTCAGAGTAATTTCCATAGGGCATACTTTGATGCTGAGTATCAGTACGTTCAAACTCACTGCAATGAGTGACTGCTGATGCTTCCCAGGTGGAGCAGTCCTAGGGAGTTACCTGTGTGTCCATGAAGAGGGGAATGTGGCCGTGGAAGAGTTGGAGATGTGCTGGATGTTACAATCAAACTCTTCCTGTTGCTTGTCCGACAGCTGAAAGAAAGAAAGACAAACCAACCATTAGGCATGGTCAGATGGACAACAGCATCTCCAGCCAGGTCTGCAGAATCCCTTTCTGCTTAGGAGGAATCTCTCATTATTTAGGGTGGGATTCTCTCATACTCTTGACCTCAGTTATGATCCTGCAAAGAAGGAAATGTACAGAGAAGAAAGGTACTTTGTCAGCAGCAAGTGTTTCAACACTCTGGAAGCATTTGTTACACAGGCCACTGGAGATAGCTGGTGATTTATTCCTGATTCACAAAATATGTGCTACTCATGCTTTACAACTTGCACAAAAAGCAAAAAACAATGTAATATAGCCCAGAGTGCTCTGGATACTCTTACCAATATCCAACATAGCAAATAAATCTGTTACAATTATTGGCTTGGTTATAAGAAACTAGAGCATATTCCTTAGGGCAGAGTGAAAATTACAGAGCAAAGTGTTAACACAACCCAGCAGATGAGTGGGATTACTAATCAAACTTAAAGCCTGGGATTCAAAAATCTTTGTGAACACCTGTGGCAATACCAATGGAAAACTCTGCAAAGCAAATTTCAGACATGCCTCCACCACATCAACTCCACTCACTGCCATGACTTTGTTCCAACATGGAAAGTGACACTTCTTACGGGACAGTTCAGATTTATTTTTTCCCTGTTGGGAAAGCAGAGCCAAATGAAGAGAAGGATGTCTCCCCCCGTTTGCTTCCCAGCTCGTGACTGCTGGTAGCGAACATTTACCTCTAAAGATGATAAAAGGAATCACAATGGGTGAGGGAAACATTTTTAAATCCCAGGATCTGTGAAGAAGAGCAGTTAGACAGTTAAATCCCTTTGTGATTGCCACTTCTCCTGCTGTTTAAACTGGAGAAATGAAGTTGCCAGCAAAATCTTAGAACTGACCAAGCACTACAGCTACATACATCTATTCTCTCTACCTCCAGCTTGCTTCCTCCATGGCAGAAACATTCCTGCTTCCTTCAGGAGCTCCCAAAACAGGTAACTAGAATCCCACTGGTGTTGATAGGGGTGGGAGAACAGCCAGGAGCAGGGGAAGCTGAGCAAAGGCTGAGGAAGGAGCTCTCTGGCCCCACTCCAGGGTGCCCTGTGAAGCTCCACACTGGGTTCCCCGGGCACAGGAAAAGCCTCTTTGCTTGCAGACCCCAGATGCTGACATCTGCCAGGTCCTTCGTGCACTGACTGATCTGCTGGAGCTGCCCAACAATAAACACACTCAGGCTGCCAAGAGCTGCAATTTAATGCAAAAGTATTTTGCTGCCACAGGATACAGTGCATCTGACTATTATTATTTGTAAGCTTATTTTATTGCTGTTCTATAGGAAACTAGAGAACTTGATGGAGAAAAAAATACAACTGAACTGCCAACTATAATAAACAGTAATAAAGTTGAAGCACCATTAACTGCTATTCAGGCTCTTTAGTGTACTTAAAGCATTCCTCAGAATTATCCAACTGATTCCATACAATCTCCATTTACATTCATGTATTATTCAACAACAGTCCATCCAAAAACTGATTGCCATTGTGCACATCTCATGGAAAAACTAACAGCCCGATTTTAAAAAGCTTAAAATCCCAGTTCACAGATATTTTTAACATGTTTTCAGTTACACTAGTCCAGTAACTGCTGAAAAAACCCCAGAATATTAAATTTCAACATTAATACCAGATAATCACTGTTTACATTAGCACAAAATCTTACTTGAATCATGAAATTCCTGAGTATTCTAGTGTAATATATATTACTATGTAAGAATTTTAAAAAAAAATCCTGGGTATTTTAGTATCAAATATAATGTAAGAATTTAACATCTTGCTCAGTAAAAACCACTAGTACAGTGAGAAAACAGAGCTCCATTCTCTACAGTTTTATCTCTTCGCTAAAGAGAGTTCCTAAAGCACACTTTACCACAGCAATGTCTGGAGCTGACTATGGAAACTTGGTATATTTAAACCACAGCATAACAGGGGAAGTGAACTGTCCCAAACTCAGAGCTTTTTAACTGCTTGCCCGCATTTTCCCAATTGAACAGTTTTATAAACCCATTTTCTTTGCTGTCTTTGCCAATACAAGGAGCCAAAAGAGAAAGGGTTAAGGGGATGGAGAGCAAAGCACAGCTGAGACCCCTTAAAATAGGTCAGGTTTACACAAATGTACCCAGAGGAGGGAATGGCTTGGAGTGAAACCTAGCCCAAGTTGGGAATAAAACATTATTCTCTTTGCACCCTCAGCACTGGATAACTTTTAATTTTCCTGGATCTCTCATCTGCTAAAGAGAAACACCACTTGGGTCTGTTTAGCCATTACTGTGACTTATGTGTGTTGGCAATAAGGCAAAACTTAAACACAGGGACTCAGAACACAACACCCAACTGCTCAAATTCATGTTCTGTGTTGAGAAAAATATACAAGTACAATCACACTCTCTACTGGTGGAAGAGAGCCCTCTGCATATAGAGAAAAAGCTTTTAGCAGATGTAGGAATCCTAGAGGAAATGCAGAACAAGAGTGAAGTTCTGGTAGGCACCAAAACAAAAAAGGGTGAAGGGAGGAGGTAATGAGCAGACTTCAGTGGGATGACCTCTCCCCCCACAAGGCACTATGACAGCATTTAAGAACCTCCTGAAGAAGAGCTAAATATGAAGGAAGCAAAGCTGGCTTTAAGGAGGGCTTAGTGCCAAAGAAATTCAAACTAGTAAATTTAGGTGTTGGCAGAAGCAGTTCCACTGAAGAAAAAATTATTTCCTGGAAGGTTCATTTTAGCCAGACAGACAGCACTCAGCTCAAATGTGAGAACCAGGCCAAAGATAATGAGGAGATCATACTGTTAATCCTTTAAATTGCATTAATTATTATTTATTACCATTTGTGAATTCTTTAAACAATACTGTACGTTTTCTTGCTCAAAAATTAATTCAATCTACATAAGAAAACAGGAGTAATAGAAGAAAGTAAAAGGGGAGAAGGTTGGCTGTATCTTACTTTTTAACTAGAAAAAAAATCAGTCCAGAGAGATTTCAAGCATTATTATTTGTTTATAAGCCAAAGTTTCGCTGTTTTCATTAAACACAAGGTGAGCCCTGCCCTGAACCTCCTTTTCTCTCACAATTTGCCATGGGTCTTGTTAACTTTTTTTTTTCTCAGATCTCACTTCATCATCTCAGAGAGCAAATCCCCTCCAGGTCTTCCAGCATAGGCAAAACACAATTTTAAAAGCACCGAGTTTCTGTAGGGCCCAGAGCTGTAGGGCTGAGCTCCAGCCCATGCAGAGCTCTGGAGGTGCTGCCCTCCCTTCCCTGGTCAAACACCCACACAGCCAAACCCAAGTCTAGAAACCTGTGAGCTCACAGGAGCACCTCGGTTTAATTCTAAAAACACATAGTAAAATGGATATCGTACACTGAAACAGCTGAAACAATGCCTTTGGATCACTGTGGAAATAGAGCTTTTACTCTGTTTCTGGAGTTAACTTCTCTGCCTGCAGTAAAAATATCATTTGTGATGTGTACTGAAGTGTCCCCAGCGCGTTCCTGAAACTGAACCCCGCAGGACATCGGACAGCTCTGGTAACTGGACACTGCTTTTGGACCCGCTGAAATGTGTCCCCGAGGCAGCACCCTTGCCCAGAGTTATTTCTGAGCACATTTGGCGTTGTACCTGTGACCTGCACGCAGCCCCCCCAGCTCTTCATCTGCACCCCAACCAGCCTCCTCCTCCTCACCCACGGACAAGCCCAGGGCAAGCCTCTAGAATGAGCACCACGAGTGCACCTTGTTTCTTGTGCCTACTCAGTCTGAAAAAGAAATCAATGCCTCAGTTTCAGCATAAATCGATATTTGATTCTTTATTTTAGCAGTTTACTCAGGGGACATCTTCAACTCGCTGAGCAAAACCGATTAATGCCCAGGAGGCATCTGTGTAAGGAAAGTGAGGGCCACAGAAAAAACCAATGTAAATACAAATAACCAACCACCACTATCATGCGATTTCATAGTGATGCTGGTTATTATAAATGAATAATGATAAGGAAGTTTCTCAAAATCCATCTGAATTTATAGGCCTTGAGGAATTTCTTGTAGCTGAAACTTCTGGAGTATGTAAGTAAACAAGATAACACTGATTGCATGAGCCTCCTCATTGACTTGGACAGAAATCAACTTGAAGAAATACGATACTTGGAAAAAGTACAGCTTAAATCACGTTTTGATTACTACTCACGAATGCATTTTATTTATATTAGTGATTTGTCACAGAATCACTTGTAAAATTGTAAAAGACCTCAAGATCATCAAGCCCAACCTTTGACCAAAAATTTTAATTTTAAAATTTTGTAAACTACCTCAGGTTGTCAGAGTGCCAGATTAACTCCTGCACTAACTTCTTTCAAAATAGCATTCAGAAGCCAAACATCAGACTTGTTCCAGATTTGACACTACATTTAGTGACCTCAAATCCCTATGAATTGGGATCCAAATTCAGAGCAGTCATATCTAGTAAAGTTATTTGTGGTTACATATTGTTCCTAAAATGTAATATCACCTAACCAAACTTCACCAGATTCTCCTCTGATATTACAGAAGTTTGGTTTCAGTTGATTTGCTTTACAAAGAGTTCTTTATGAGAAACAGACATTTTGGAAATGAAAATAAGTATTTAAAATTTTTATTCACAATGACAGAAAATTTACAAAATCCAAAATCTGCATGTCAATGAATGCAGCAGCTGCACAGCAATGTTAACTAGATGTGGAAGTTATCGTCTTAATTATAGTAATTCAAAGATGGAAGCAATTTTGTAAGCTTTAGCACTACCAACAACAGGGATAATTAGTTCTCTAAAATAGATAAGTAAGCATCTGGTTCAACTGATTTCTTTTTTTTTCCACATTCAAGAATAGTTTAAGAATTATTCATCCTAGAATAACTGGGGGGGAAAAAAAAGTATTATTATTCATGGTGTAGGTTTG